CCTCCTCCTCATTCTACCTGCGTGACGACCGTTTTTGCATAGGATGCTCACTAACTCCCCGCCGTCGCCCACCAGCCTCTTCTCCGCCTCGCAGATCCAGTCTTCCTCCACGGGCGGCCCCTCCGCGACCGACCTCCTCGCCTCCTCCACCACCGACCTGGCCTCCCTCCCCAGCGGCGCCGCCTCGGGCCCCTTCGACGCAATCATCGCCGTCGGCGTGCTCATCAAGGGCGAGACGATGCACTTCGAGTACATTGCCGACGCCACCACCCAGGGCCTGATGCGCGTCCAGCTCGACACGGGCGTCCCCGTCATCTTCGGCGTCCTCACCGTCCTCAACGACGACCAGGCCAAGGCGCGCGCCGGCGTCGACGGCAAGGGCCACAACCACGGTGAGGACTGGGGCCTGGCCGCCGTCGAGATGGGCGTCAAGCGGAAGGAGTGGGCAGGTGGCAAGATTGAGGGCTAAAGGGAAATCTCAGACAACAATAGTTTCTTTTGAATAGAACTGGAATATGAGATATAGTAGCATCGCACAGCACGTAGACGTTGCTACCTCTTTCGAGCCCAGCTGAGCCAAGACACGCATGCGCGTGCACTGCATATATAGTACGTACGGCGACGCACCTCGCAACGTTGGCATCGGCCTCATTTGTCACCATGCATCCCGGGGTACCAGGGGTGAAACTCGAAGCTCCAAGCGACACAATCAAAGCACAGTCGACAGCCAGCATCCATCATCCAATTAGTCAATTAGCACGTATAGCCATGTCTATCTATCGTCCGCAGCGCGCGGTCCATCCTGGGGCGACCAAAGTTTCCCATTGCAATATGTGCCTGCTGACGCCCAAAGTCGAAATCAGATATCTAGCTGGAGATGGTGGTGAAACTCTCGGGCGTGGCTGCCAGAATATCCCCAAGAAAAATACAGAAGCCCAATGAAGACAAAGGAGAGGAAACTAAAGGGGTAAATGATACTCAGAAAGATGAACAATGATGCAAGCAATGAGCCACTCAGACTTCACCACCAGGCGTGACGCGCCTTCGCCAGCCGTCATTCTGACTCACAGCGCCAGGTCGCCAAAGAAATTCTTTTTGCTCTTCCATATCGATCGCTTCTTGTCGCGCTTGGCCCTCATCTCCTCCCAGCCTTGCTCGTCGTCGTCGTCGTCGCCCCCGGTGTTCTGCTCCTCCTTGGGAACCGCCTTCACCGTTGACTTGCTCTTGTCGTCGCTCCAGCTCGAGAGGCCCCCGGACATGGTCATCGGTCTCGGGGCCTCGTCCAGGGCAGGCGACGCCGGGGCCACGGACACCGGCCGGTAGCGGCCGGGCAGGCCAATGTTGCTGCGCTCCGAAGGAGCAATCGAGGGCGTGTATCCAGCCATGGAGCCGCGGATGGACGGGGCACCGTGTCGTGGCGGCGGCGGTTGCATGAAAGATGCGGAACTGGGCTGCACCATGCTCATCGTCCGCATCCCGTAATCCATCCGGCGCTGCTCCATCATGTTCGGCATCGGCTCGGCCATCATCGAGTGTCGGGACGGCAGATCCACCATGGACTGGTTGTACGGCAACGGCCCGCCGAACATGGGCTGCTGCCCGGGCTGCAGCATTTGATGCTGCATCGGCGGCTGCATCGGGGACCCCCCACCGTTCTGGTTTACCGCCATCATCTGCATAAACTGCATTTGCATCTGCATGAACTGCTGCATCTGCTGCGTCATTTGGATCTGCGCCTGGTCGCCGGGCGTGAGCATCGGCTGAGGCGTCTGGGGCATGCCGTTGTACATCATGTGCGGGGGGATGCCAGCGACCGGGTCGAAAGCCGGGCCTTGCGGCCCGTTCATGGCGGCCATTTGATGAGGGTCGATGCTGGGGCTACCGCGGCGCATGGCTCTCGAGCGCTCTTCGCTCGCGATGACGCCCACGAGCCCCCCGGGAGGCGTCGGCACCTGCAGCCTCGGGGATTGCCCCGCATCGCCTCCGAACGCAAGGGATTCCCTCACGGCCGGCTGGGCGATGCTAGCCCCGACGAACGGATCCTGTGGCAGGTTCCTGGCGAATGCCGGGAGGACCGAATGTCGACGAGAGTCTGTCACGACGGACGCCGGGCGGCCAGGGGGCGGCCCTTGGGACGACGAGCGCAGGTGGGAGTTTGAAGGCATCTGGCTCAGCCTTGTTGGCGGCCGGTTCCTGCTCGGAAACCCGTGGGCTTGCAGAATGCCAAGCGGCACATCTTCGTCATCATCCTCGTCGGTAACTCCGATGATTGGGTCCGGCGAAGGCGCCTTCATCTGGCTGAGTTGCGGCGCGCTCGACGATGGCAGCAGGCCCGGGCGTCCGGTTCGCTGAATGGGCGTGCTGGGAGCGGGCTCTCCGGTGACCTTCATCATCTGCTGCCGGTAGACAGCCATGTGCGCTTCTTGCTTCCTCCGTTGCTTTGCCTGCTGCTTCGACTTTTCTTGCTCATCCTCGTCGTCGTCGTAGTTGATCTCGTCTTCGTCGTCTGCCTCCTTTGCGGCGGAGACGGCCGCCTTGTCATTCGAGCTTCGTTCCTTGTCCTGTCGATACTTTTCAAATTCTGCGGGAGTCATGACCTTGTTCTGGGGTGCCTGGTTGTTGGCCGACCGAGGAGTGTACGGTTGAGATGGACGGGAAAACCGAGATGCGTTCCCCTCGAACATGTTGTCCTCCTTGCTGAATGTAGAGGCGATGGTGCGATGCTGGGTTGAAGCGAATGTATCTTCCTCACGTCTATACCGATAGCCGCGGGGTTCGTGGGCCTCGTTCCGCTGCTCCTCCGCCGCCAAAGACTTCATCGCCGTAACCGAGTCTCTCAGGAGCTTAGCATCTTCATCCTCTACCACATCTGACGTGCGGTTCGCGTATTTGAAGGAGCCAGGGGTCTGGTGGCGAGGCACGGGAGGCGGCGGCGTATCGTAGGCATTGGGCGCGGTATCCGACTCGCTCAGGCTGCTCTGCCCGCTCAGCAGCGGCTCCGACGGCTGGAAAGTGTCTGGGCTTGTTGGGGTTTGCTGGATGTGTCGAACTCCCGTGAGAGACCGGGGCTCGATAAAGGCATCATTCTTCAGTGTCGCCATGCTCGCTCTTTTGTCGAAGGATGGCATCATAGAACCAAAATCCGCACCCAAATCCAGTGCGGACTGTTCCTGCTGAGTCGGTGTCGCAGTACTCACCGACGATGCGGTCAGGCCCCTTGACCTGTTTCCGAGGTCCTCCCCGCCCTGAAAGGTGAGTATCGGGGGCACGTCGGGAATAGGTGACGACTCTTTGGGTGGGGGGATCGTATGCTTCTTCTGCCCGCCAAAGGAGAATGTGCGGGTGGCTCGGTCCAGGAAGCTGGACTTGATGCTCCCACGGCCCGGAGACTCCTGGGGCTGTGACTGTGGAGGCCGTTGCAGTGGGGGTGGCTTCACGGAGTGGCGATAGTCGTCGTGCCCGCTGCCTCCAGCAAAGTCTGTTGACGAAGGCGCCGTTGAAGCGTTGCTATGGCGTGACGAGTTGTCGGTCGAGGTGGCATTCGTCGTGTTGGAAAGGCCGCTGCCACTGCAGGCATCGTTCCGTCAGCAAAACTATAGACTAGACCTGCGAGGCAGGGGCATGGCAGACGGCGTCGACTTACCGATTTGTTTTCAGGTCAGCAAACATGTTTTCCTCGGCGTTGAGGTCCAGATAGTTGGGCTTCGGGGTCACATTGGCCGAGGCGCGGGCCATCCTGGCTCCGCCGTCAAAGGTCCGGCTGTTGGCAACATCCTTGCGTTCGATGACGCGAAACGAGTGCTGCTCAGGTGTCGTTATGGGCACATGTTCGAACTCGTCGGCGGCGGACTTGCGCCGGGAAAAGGCGACCGAGAATCTAGGCATGTAGACCGCCTGTCGAGCGTGGCTTGGCCAGGCGTTCGTCGGGACCGAAATGCGAGGTGGAAAGAGGTCGAGTCGTGTCCCGGGTCCGCGTATGTGTTGCTGTGCCGAGGGTTGATTGTTGTTCCGTGCTTGCGAAGCACGGCCTCGGAGGGGCGATACGAGATGCTTGCGACGGTTGTGCAATGACGGACGGGCAGAGGCAGCGAGCGAGCCGTCGTCGGTCCGGTCGGGGGGGTGGGCGGCTTGGGCCAGAGGCGGGAAGCAAGAGACAAGACGCTAGCACCGGACAGCCTGTAGGCAAAGGACGTTAACAATGAGCCGCTTGTAATGGCGGGAATGCAAATGGGTTGAGCGGCGACGGAAGCGATTTGCTTTGGTCTGGCTGTGAGACCTGAAACCTGGCGGTTGGCCGGACGTGGCAGGCATGTAGTCGCTGGCGGGCGAGAAAGGAATGGAGAATGCTCTAAGACGCACTCACAATAATCTCCAAAAGGAAGGCGACGCAGGGGCGACACGAGCGGTGGCGGTCGGGCTCAGGACCGGTCCGCAGCAAGGGACAATCGGAATCCGGGCTTAAGCTTTTGGGCTCAGCGCAGTCGTTGCCCGTGGCCGTTGTCGTGGTCGTGGTCGTGGCCGTTGGTGATCTGGCCGCCGCAGAGCGAGAGAGAGAGAGAGGGTAGGAGCGGAGCGGAGCAAGCGAAAGAAACGGCAGCAGCCCGACAGCAATTGCGTGAAGGGGAGAGACGGGTGGAGGTATCGGATGGGGCTGGACAGGCAAAAGGTCGAGCGAGCGAGCGAGCGTGCGTGCGAGCGAACGAGGGGGTGAAACCGAGGGCCAGCGGTACGAGTACGTGTACCGTACTGTCCACAAGTACAACGGTCTGCGTCTGTCGGCAGGCAGGCAGGCGGATGGGCAGCAGATCCCGGTCGGCTGCAGCGAGACGAGCACAGTACAGACGCCGGTCCGAGCCTTTGGTCAAGCAACACGGTTGGGTAGGAACGAGCGTTAGGTGAGCTGCGGCGGGAGCGGCATCGTTGGCCTCGACACGGAGCGAGCTGGCGAGGAGGTCAGGATGCTGTGATGTGTGATGAGAAGGAGACGAGGAAGAGAGTCTCGCGGCCCGGCCTGGTCGAGGAGGAGAGCGGGAGGGGGTGGCCAGCCTTTGCTGGCTTCTCAGTACGGGGTACCTGGGGGCGAGACGGGCAGGCGGCGGACAAGCCCTGCTGATGGCCGCCGGTGCAGGCGTTCAGGTAGCCCGGGCCGGGCTGGTTGGTCGCTATTATTACTGGCGGTGCAGCTCGGGTGCTGGCGCTGGTGCCCGGTGCTCCATAGGGGCAGGTACAGTAGGTACCTTGGATGCTTGGGTGGTGCTGAAGCCGGTGCCGCTGGCTGGCTGGCCGGCCCTCTGGCTCTCTCTGGCTGGCTCCGTCCGGGCCCCATCCGTGGATGGCTCCATGGCTGGGCTGCGGCTGGTGGGCGCCCGCGCACGTAGGTGGGTAACCCGACCCGGGCTGCCTGAGTGAGTGAGTGCGCGAACACGACCTCTGCTTGCTCTGCCCGCAACCACCAGCGGCACCGCCACCCACGGCCAGCCCCCCCGGCTAGCCCGGGCCTCTCCAGCTCCATCCCATCCTCCACTCGCTCATCAGCACCAGTCGCGCTGGTGGTCATGCAATCATGGCGGTCCCCCAAGTGCCCCAAGTCCCCGTCCCTTCCCCCTTCCCTGCCATTAGGTTACTGGTGCCTTGCTGGGCCGATCTGGACGGGTCCTGATCCATCGGCGGCCCAGTCGAGCATTGCTTTGCGCCTCACTAGCCCCCTGGTCCCCAGACCATAGCCAGTACGGCCAAGCCGGAATATTGAGTTCTGATGGGAAAATAGCACACGGAGATTCTGCTCAATCCCAAGGACTCGCATCACCACTGCGACGCATAACCTGCCTTGCGGGTGCGCCACCGCACCGAGGGAGGCAGCTGGCTGGTAATCATCTCAATGAGCGCTTCCTCACAATGCAGACGATGACAACGAGGGCGAACGGCAACCATCCCAGATGCAACGCCGTCACCACTCACTCCTTTTTTTGTTGCACCCTGTCCCGCACTTGCACCCTTGCCCTTGCCAGTCGCCAGTCCCGGCCGCCAGGGTGCCCGCACCGCTCGGTCCAGACGCAGCATGGCCTGCCTGCAGACGGCGATGGCGGTGGATGTGCGGGCATTGGACGGCGCCGCGTGTGCATATTTTTTTTTCTCGCCATTCATGTGCCTGCCAGTGAACACGTCGCCCGCCATCCAGGAACTCCGGCTAAACAAGACCGGCCACCATTGTTGATCCTCGCTTTCCGCTCTGGCCGGCCGCGTGAAGGAGGCAGGGTGGCACTGCCGGGCCTGTGGCACAGCCAAGGAACCTCGAAGCTACAAGCACTCTGAACTTTGTGCAGGCGCCCAGGACCTCGCACCGCGCACCGCGCTCGTCGCACGACGACGGCGCAACAGGAGCTGAGCTGAACAAAGGCGGCCGACGGGAGGCCCATCGGCGGGCCTAGCTTGCCCGGGTGCTGTGGGTGCTGTGGGCGCTTGGAGCTTGCCGAGGACGGGCGATAGTAGTGGAAGCCAGCCCCGACGACTGGCGACTGCGGCGAAGACTGTTGTTGGTGTGGCCGCCATGCCGCCGCGGTGGATGCGGATGATGGTGGGTGAGTGGGCACGCCTCGCTCCTTGATGGCCGGCCATGGCTTGCTTGTTCGGATGGGTGGCGGCGGCTTGCATGCGTACGATGCCGCTCGCATCGACCGCGCCGCAAGCCCCTGCTCGTTGACGTCGCGTCCACCGGCGCTTCATCCGAGTCTTGTTTGGTTTACTAGTACATTTTAGCATGTCACGGTAAATAACTGATGTGCATGCTGCATCTCGCTGGAGATCCAGGAGCATGACGATCGCCATGTGCTGGAGCTCGACCGTCCGAGGTAGATTGAAAGTGGAAGGGAGGGTGCCGCAACGGCGTGACAGCCATCTGACCATTGCTGCGTTATCTCATGCTCCCGCCTCAGTCGTCGCGGGTGCTTGTCGCCCCTCTGAGGTGGCAAAACAAAGCCGTTGGATTTGCGTCCCCTTGATCGCCTGCGAGCACCGCACCGATGAAATAATTTTCTGGTTCGGACAGGCACGGAATGCCGGCGCTTTGGTCAAGGGCCCCCATGTAGCGCGGCGACGCCTGCGGGAAGCTTTACCACAGACGGTAACGTCCCAAGAGGTGACGATGCGACACAGGAAGGCCTTCTTGTCGACATGGAATTCAAGAGTTAACGGTCCGTCTGGTCGCTCCCCTCCATCTGCGCCTTGCCGTGAAAAACAAGAGCGCGGTGTGAGGCATAGGGCCGCGGGCGTCATTGAGAATACGTGCGGTCCCCCCGTGCCATACTCAGCGTCAAAGGCGGAGGAGGTAGGTCAGCGATAGAGGTGGTATTTTTGGCTCTGCCCGATGTCGTCACGGAGCCGCTGCAGCAAGTCCCCTCTTCGTACTGCCAAGGTACTTGCCAGCCCTTCACCGCGTGTCCCAAGGTCGGCCGGGCCGGGCTTGTCTTTGATGGTGCCGGCGCACAGGGCAACAATGGGCCACAGCGGCTGCACCGGCGGGAACGTGCGACTTGTGAGTCGCATGCCAGTGGTCGTCCCGGCAAGGACACAAGCACAGGGAGGTATCGATCGATCAAGCGCCGCGGCATCGTCATGTCGTTAATCGGGAATCTTGGGGTGCCTGGCGGCCGAGCCCCGAGCTGCTGCCTGTCGTCAGCAGATCTTGTCGTCTTGCGTTGGCAGCATCCGTCGTCCCCTGGAGAGCTGCGCAGCGTGATCAGCGGCTGACAAGCTTTCTTCCGTCGTGCCGGTCGTGTTCACAGCTCCACAAGGGGGGCCGCTCTCCACCACGGTGCCCCTTTTCCCACAACCCTTGCAGGGACCGCAGGGTTCGGGACCGCAAACGAGAACGTGCTTCGTCATGGGGATTCGCCCCGTCAGGGAGCAGTTGCCAAGTCCCACAGCAACAGCTTGGCCTGCGCCCGAATCGTCCGTACTCAGAGCTGTACCTCGTACCATTTCTTGTGGTGAGCTCCATGGTGAGCTGCATGACACAATGTGCTGGGTACGGGCGCAGTGGAACGCCGGGGCTACCGATGTTCGGCGCGCCGAGACAGGTTTTGGGGCTGCACAAATGGATTGTACAGTAGAGAACCGCTGCCGTGAGTCTCTTGTTAAGCATAAGGCCTGGCAGGCGAGAACACATCGCGCCGAATCATCTCGCCATCCCCGCAAAGGGTTTTCGCCAGCCCACAGACTCCCCACCTGCTGTGAACGGCGCTCTGGAATGATTTTTCCTACCAGTGGGCTTTCGGGCGGAGGCATGTCCTCGTATGCAGCAGCATGCGGATGCGGTCGACCCATCCGAGACCCGCGCTGCGCCCGTGGAGCTTCGACGAGCACTTCTAGACGCTTGCGGCGGCGTCGAGGTGCGGCGCCAAGGCAACAGTCGGTCCAAAGCTGCACGAGGTGGCCGAGGAGCAGCGCGCCTGTGATGAAAAGCCTGGTCGGATCGCGTGGATGCTGCAAGCTAGAGCAAACGGTTACTGATGTAAAGATGCAATGCATTTGTGTCATACTTCGTACGCACGTCGCCTGGCTGGGGCCTGCCCATAGAGCTCCAGTCACAAGAGGTGGACCACCAGCGAGGCTTGCCGCTGAACGGTTCGCTCCTTGGCACTCACGAACCCAACCGACTATTGTCAGGTTGCAGCACCAGCTCGTTTCGATGCCAAGCGAAGATGCCATGTCGGTTTCTGAGTAAGGTCCCGGGCTGCCTGCCGGTTGTTGCCCTTACGTACACACTCCGGCGGCATGAAACGATAGGCAATGGTTGAAGCATTTCAGGCGGGGTATTTGTGTTTGGATTCGAACGGCAATCACCTGCAGGCCGATGACGGCCGGTCATGGTGAAGACATGTACATACGTACGTAGGGTAAGGTGTCCGGTTGGAGATACCTGAGGCAGCCAGCAAGCCTGGGTAACAACAGGACCAAGGCAGGCACAAAGGGGGACGCGGGAAAGAGCGTTGCAGAGCGATGGTACGAAGCACGTTACCGCGTTGCAGCAGGGGAAAGTGCCAGGGTGGGCAATTGGCAAGTCCACACCCGACATCGTTGAGGAGCGAATGTTCGCACTTATGAGGGACGCATGATCGTGCAATTCTCGGTCCATTTGCCTGCGACTTGCCCAACCCGACCCCTCAGCAAGCCGTCGAATCTAATCAAGCGTCTCTTCCCATCGCGACGACACTGACTCGCCGTGACATGCGTGCCGCGGCACTCACCAGGATCCTTGGCGAGGAAAGGCTTGCGACGTCGGCGACGCGCCGTCATTATGCACAGACAACACCAGGGCCAGGCGGAGAATATTGTATCAAGACGCCGATCAGGAGCTCGAACCAGGCCGTGCGTGGTCCAAGGCCGGCAGGGAGTGAGTGGCGTGCCATGGTGAGGCAGATGGAGACTGGGAGAGGGCTCTCTCGGCAGATCTACCCGCAACGGCAGATGCAGCGCAGCAGAGAGAGCCTTGCTTGCTTGCTTGCAGTTGTCGCGACCGGCCGACGACACCGACTGTTGCAGTTGCTCCTGCTGCTGCTGCTGCTGCAAGGCATGATAAAAGGTTCCTCCCCGCTTGGGGCCCCTCGGCACGGCAACGATGGCGTCGCACATGCAGACGCTTCCGTCACCTGCGAGTGGCCCGCATGCCGCCCGCAGCTGCGCTCGACATCAACAGCAAATGACGTGCAAGCATTGGATCAGGTGCCGAGCCGGCAGAGAGCGGCCTGCCTGCCCTGCCCTTGCACGGACGGAGGCGCCGCATCGTCACCGTCGACATTGCGACGCCAAGCAGCAATCACCGGGGGTGTCATCGCTTGCAAAGCGGCGCTTGACACTGCGCATTGTCGTTGCGGGGACATCACCGCTGGCATCCATGGACCCTATCCATGGAAGCGCTCCATCGTCAGCGGGTGCGCCGCGCACAGGCCTCCGACCGCGTTTGTTAGAGAGTTGTGGCGCAATGCCCTTCAACCCGATTTAGCTCCAAGCCATGCCACGGAGTCGTTCGGCGGCAGCAGCTTTAGCTTCAGCCCCACCAAGAAAACCAGAGGACCGCCCACCACGCCCGCGACGATGGCTGTGGCCGACCTTCTTCCATTGTCTTGGTGTCGACATCCGGCCGTCATTGTTCACCTGCGTCACGCCGCTTGCTGGGTCGCCAGAGGGTCTCCGGCCGTCATTCTCTCTGCCGGCGCCGTCGCCGTCGCCGACTCGGCATCCAAGCCGCGCCGCATTCGTCGCCGAGGCCGTCGACGTCGGGAATGAGTTCGCCAAGCCAGCGAGGCCGCCCTCTTCGCAGGCCCTCGCTGCTCTCCCTGGATGATAGCCATCACCACTACCCGCTGGCCACCCGCACCGGCACTCTGGCTTCTCTCATCCGAAGCCGCTCGCAGCAGAGGCTCAGTGGGGGTGGCTCCTGGCCGCCGCCCGTGCACCGCCTGAGTTCAGACGATGAGGAGGCGTCCTGGGCGCGCCATGAGGAGGATGACATCGAAAGGCTCCTGAGGGACGAGACTCGCCTCGGACAGGTCCTCAGGGGTCCCCAGGTGCGAAGCATGAACCTCATTGGCAAAAGCAACCCGCGGTATCGCTGGGAGCGCTACTGGAAGCAGGAGGATGAGCTCGAGGCCATGAAGAAGCCGCTGTAAGACAGCCCGTCGTCATCCTTTGGCGCTTCTCCCCTTGCCATGATTCCAGGACTGATGTCGTGTCTCAATAGTCGCGAGTACTACGAGCGGACCAACGAGCTTATCCAGCAATACATGTACATCGATTGCCTGCTGGACTCGTCAATCCCGCACGACCTGCTCAACGAGTACAACGCCGAGTTGGAAGCGTCTGCCTTCCGGCCCGTCGACGTGCCCGCCACCATCAGCGAGGAGCCCAGCTTGTCCCAGTCCGCGTCTGCCTCCCTTGACCTGAACGGGCCCGGCCCTGGGTCGTACGGCTCCATTACTCCGGCGTCTAATGGCAACACGGGGAGCACCAGCCCGAGCGGCTCGAAGCCGTCCTTGCCGCAGAAGCGCACGCCAAAGGACATCTTCCGGTCATCAGAATCCCTCCCGCTCCTCAAGCACATGGACGATGAGCCTCTCGAGTCTCCCGCCTTACCATCAGCGGTCGGTGAGGCAGGGCCACGGCCGTATCTCCCATGGCTGGAGGATGCCGAAATCGACAGCGACGACCCCGTCGTGACCTTGGCCATCTGGGTAAATCTGGTCGCCAATGTCATTCTTCTCGTGGGAAAAATTGCCGTCATTGTGTCCGTCCCATCCATGTCCGTCCTTGCCAGTCTTGTCGACGGGGTGCTCGACTTTCTCAGCACAGCCATTGTCTGGACCACGACGCGACTCATCTCAACAGGTCACAAGGACCAGCATCAGTATCCCGTCGGGCGTCGTCGGTAAGTGCAGCTCGCAAGAAACAGACTCGGTCCGTTCCATGCTGATGTTTGTTCACGCAGCCTGGAGCCTGTAGGCGTGCTGGTGTTCTCGGTCATCATGGTCACGTCGTTTGTACAGGTTGGCTTGGAGTGTATACAGCGCCTGGCACGGCCAGAGCATGAGATCCTGCAGCTCGGGCTCCCTGCCATCATCATCATGATCAGCACCATTGTCATCAAGGGCGCATGTTGGGTCTGGTGTCGCGTTGTCAAAAACTCGAGCGTCCGCGCCTTGTAGGTCCCCGTCCCACACCTTCAGCGTTCCCGCCCTACCTTGTGCGTCATCTCACATGCTTCCACCACAGGGCCGAGGATGCCAAAACGGACGTCATCTTCAACATCGGATCGATCCTCTTCCCAATCAGTGAGTCCGCGTCCCCCGCGGTGACTTGGTCCGCCCACTAACTCCCGTCGTGCAGTTGGGTTCTACGGCAAGATCTGGTGGCTCGACGCGACGGGCGGCCTGCTCCTCTCCTTCGTCGTCATCATCACCTGGAGCCAGACCTCGGCCCACCACGTCCGCAACCTGACGGGCTTCTCCGCCCGGCCCGACGAGCGCAACCTCCTGCTGTACCTCACCATGCGGTTCGCCACCGCCATCCGCCAGTTCCAGAACCTCCGCGCCTACCACGCGGGCGACAAGCTCTTCGTCGAGGTGGACATTGTCCTGTCGGCCATCACGCCGCTCAAGGACAGCCACGACCTTAGCGAGGTGCTGACGTACTTTCTCGAGTCCGTGCCCATTGTCGACCGGGCGTTTGTGCACGTCGACTACGCAAGCTACAATGCGCCGACGCACATGCTCAAACAGTCGGCCACGTGATGATGTCACTTACGGTTCAATGACACCTGTTGGTTGTTGGCAACAGCGAGCAACGGCGTTCAGAATGGAAATGGGTCTGCCTCGTGTCTCGTCCAGATACCTCCATGTAGCATGCTTGATTATTTGTGTTGTACGATATGTATTTTTCAGTATAAGTACGGACTTGATGAATACACAAAAGGCACCCAAACGGTGCACGCCACGCCGCTGAATAGGCTGGACGTGAAAAAGAAACAAGACAATTGCAAAGGGGCGAATACCAATTAGTATGGGATCCCGTTGGTCAGCAGCTGGAACTGGTCGTAGACGCCTGTGCTGTAGCTCGAGTAGCTCTTCTTGATGAGGTCCTTCATAAAGGTGGCGGCCTCGCGCTCCGTCTTGTCGAGGACGAACCTCTCGCGGAAGTGCTTGACGCTCTCGGGCTTGAAACACGGCAGGCCGCTGTCCATCATGAGCAGGACGATCTGGCTGAGCTTCTCGCAGTACTGCCTGCTGGCGAGGAAGGCCTTTACGCAGAGCTCCTCGAACCACTTGAAGCTCTGGTGGTCCATGGACCCGCCCATGACGGCCACCATCTCGCTCGTGAGCTTGAAGGGCGCGCGCTCAAACTTGATGCCGCCGGGCGCAATGTCGAAGCAGAAGCCAAAGTCGATGTGCAGGATGTGGCCCGCGTCGTCGATCATGATGTTGCCGTTGTGGCGGTCCTTGAACTGCAGCAGGAACGAGATGACCGAGTAGGCCGCCATCGACTTGACAAAGTTGTTGCGCGCCTGCTGGAAGCGGAGCGAGTCCTCGTTGCCGTACTTGGAGACGAAGTACTCGTAGAGCCCGTTGACGGCCTCGCGCCCGAGCATGTCGCGGGAGATGGAGTTGGGCAGCACGTCGATGACGCCGCAGCCGGGGGCCGTGGCGGTGACGCGATACGGGAAGACGTAGACGTCCAGCCCGACATTGTGGAAGATGCCGCGGAACGCAGCAATCATCTGCAGCGCCAGCACGTCCTGTCTGCAGTCGTCGCCCACCTTGAAGATGGCCGACTGCCAGACTTCGACGGTGTTCTCCTGCGGCTCCTCCGCCTTCTTGCTGGCCTCCTCGACCACCTCCCTGGCGTCTTCGGTTGAGCCTATGGTCTTCTTGATGCGGAAGGTTGCCATGTAAGGCGCCTTGGCGTGACTCTGCAGAGGCTTTCCAGACTTGCGATCGATGCCGATGACGACGCCGTCCGGGTTACTAGGGAGGTACACGCCGACCTCAACCTTGATCTTGCGCAGCTCTTCCTCAATCTTTTGCTTCTTTTCCGGCTTCGGCCGCTTGATGAGCGGCTTCAGCTTGCCCGAAATGCCCGTGACTTCGTCGAAGAAGGAGAACTCTCGCTCGTAAAACTCCTTGTCTTCGGCAGCGAAGCTGTTCACCATCTTCTCCATGACAGAGTCGAGTGTCGGCTTGATTTCGTCTGGGACCTGGGCGTCGTCGTCCTTGTACATGTTTGCCTTCATGTTCCAGATGATCTGGTGCGCAAACAGCTGGGAGAATTGGGCAGTTTCCAGGATGTACCGCTCGACATATCCCAGATTGTCATATCTGAGCGTCTGCACGATCTGTGGGACGTAGAAGAACGTGATGTCGACAGAGTGGCTTTCAAGCGCGCGCATTGCGTATTGAATGAGGAACGGGTGGTCCTTGTACGCCGGCAAGAATAGAGTCACGGCGGTGAGCGGGTTCATTGACTCCCAGAACAAGAGATACTGCGAAGAGGTTAGCGCAAGGCCAGTGTTGTCTCCAGGGTCACTCGCCTTCAGCTGTGAGTTGACATCGTCTGGCAGATGGCCGCCAAATATGAGAGGCAGCGCCTCCGGCTCTGACACTGCCTTTTCAGGCATGTTGAGAAGCAGCATCCTAACCTCCCTTTGAAGGCGGGCATGGGGAAACCTCGTGGCAAGCTCAATTGCGATGGCAGGATCTTGCCACCACGCAACACGTACGAGTGGAAGAAGTGCAGTCTCGACGTGGCTCTTTGACGGGTTATGCGTCGAAAATGCACCGCTATGATGGTGGTTCAAGGGGTTGATCCAGACACTGAGTCGGTTTTGTTCATTCTCCAACAGCAGCTGAAGCAGCTGCTCTTTGGGCTGCAGGGACGTGACATTGCCGACGGTGTGCGCTCCAATAAAGGACACCAGCTTCAGGGCAGCGAGAACGTCTGAGATCAGTCGGACTTCAGTCTTGAGCTGAAGGATGTTGCTGCCAAACGACCACCTGGGCGAGTTCCTGAACCAGCTGAGGCCTGCCGAGAGGATCTTCTCCTTAAGTCGCCACTGGGCAGCGGCCCCAAGGGTGGTGCTGGCACGCAGGACCTTCAGTCCGAGCAGGACGATGTGGAACCGCACCTCTCTTGCCATGGGATGGGCCGTGGCATCCTTGAGGGCATCCATTGTTAGGTCAAGCATGCGAAGGAACACTCTCTGAATGTCGGGGCTGCCAAGGCGCGTAGCATTGAAGTGGCTGGTGAAGAATTGCAAGAGGCGAGTATGCGGTGAAAGCACGTCATGCACCTGCTGTCGTTTCTTCGCGAGGGCCTCAAGCTCACTGGGTGCAAACTCTTCCCGTAGGAAGAAGGGGTCTGGGTGTGTCAAAGTAGGGCTGAAAAGTCCGACTCGGCGAGAGATTGTGAACTCCCATTGTTGGGCGATGCTCGTTAGCATTTTTGGTTCCAGTCGTGGATTCTCATTCATGACACCGAGCCAAAGCGACACACCCAGCTTGGTAGATTGCTTGGTGAAGAGTGCAAAAGGGATGCTGACAAGGTAGCGCGCCACGGCCGACTCGTCACGTCGACTTCGGCAAAGCAAGGCAGCTGCGCGCCTGAGAATGTCTCGCACCTCCACCAAGGGAGTTGACTTCTTGCTCAGGATGCGTGCCTCGACGTGAGCCAGCGCGGTGGACGCATTCGCACTCTCCATCACGGAGGACTGTGCGAACGACGACCTGCGGCTCATTGTCATGAAGCTGATAAGTTCGTTGCCGCGGTCCGGGAGCGCCTCGCCATAACGGTACTCCTGACGTGTCGTGTACTGGGCGACAAAATCAGATGCCGTGTTAATGTTGCAGTCTCCAACTCGGTCAAGCGATTGCAGGCGATTGTTAGTCAAGGGGATGACGGATCCCAGCTCCAAAGCAAAGGACCTGCCGAGCGAGATGTGCCCGTACGCGCCGTCGTCGTCAAGCTCAGATAGGTATGTCTGCAGCAGGCCCTTGACATCCAAGGGAGCGAGGTTGATGACAGAGTTAACCCATGCCTTTGCCTTGCGGTTCAGGATATCCAGAGTCCAGCGCCGGAATTCGTAGTCATCAGAAAGCTCGAGTGTGACCTTTCCAAGGTACGAGGAAAAGGTGGACCGAGGCGTGTAGAGGTCGGTCTCAGCCTCGAGGCAGCTCGACCACATGAGCGAGAGGAGCTCCAAGAGCGCAAAAAGCGGAGTCCTGTTACAGAGAGCAGAGGGCACTTCCCGGATGATACGGTCCGCGCTGTTGAACGCGGCCTGCTGCACTCGCTCGATGCGATGGCAGCACCGGCAAAAGATTGATGCAAGTTGCGTGGCAGCATACTGTGCCGAGAAGTTGGGGTCGGTGCCTGCCAGAGTCTTCTTGAGATACTTGTCGATGACGGCAGATGCGATCCCCTCCATGGTGTTGTTGACCTCGATCTTGCGCATGCTCGGCTCGAGGAAGTAGGTGAGGACCTTGGTGCAGTCGCCTGATTCGGCTCGCAGGGTCTCGACGAGATACGCCGCTTGCAGGAAGATGACTTTTCGGTAGCTCAGGTTCTTAATATCAGCTGCCTTGGACGGTATGAGCTCAGTGAGGAGCTTCTTCTGCATGGCCTCTCGTTCGCCGCTGTTGCCGCGTCGCAGGACGGTGTTGAGCTCAATGTCACTCTCAACCTGTTCTCCTCGCTCGCCGGCGACTAGCGCAGGGGAATGGATGGCAATGGTGCGCAGCTCAGCCATGTAAATCTTGGCGCGATCCGTGCCGGCTGTGAAACCATGCACGGCAATGTTGAACCAGGCGTCTCTCAACATTGAGTACGCCTCCTCGTCAGCCAGAGGCTCAGACGCGAGGTCATTGCTGGCCATGAAGACGGCCAGTGGACGCAGAAGCTCGCCAATCTCCTGCGCCACGAGCTGCATGTCGGATTCCTTGGTATGAGTGGATGTCTCGGCGTCACCAAGAGAAATGATGCTATCCGCAAGGTGCTCCCAGTAGATGTCAAAGAGCTGAGAGTCGCGCTTCAGGTTGGCCGATATGTGCGTCCTCGCTTTCATAACCTGCAGACGTCAGCACCCATCGTCATGAGAAGCAAGTTGGCATATGGACACATACCGCAGCCAGCAAGAACTCTTTCCCATCCACGACGCCAATGTGGCATATCCTGCTGTACATCTTCAGCAGCGCTCGGAACTCTAGCGGGCCGCCATGGAGCGCCAAAGTTGCTGCCCCGGAGATGACTTGGGCATCGACACTGGCGTTGACCTTGTCGAGCTTCTGGAGGAGCATAGACTGGGCCAGGGCCGTGATTTTCTCATCCTCACACGCCGCTGCAATGCGGCAGATGGCATGCACGATGTTGCCGTACACAATAGCCGTCTCCTCCTCGCCGTCCATCAGAAGAGAGATGGAGCTACCAGTTGAAGGGCGGCCAGCATACACCGCGCCTGCGACCCCATCGCCGCCAGCCGTGCCATTAACTTGGCCGTTGGTGATAGCGCCCCCTAACTCAGGACTAAGAACGTTGCCAAGCGTGTACAAGATGCTAATGACGGCGTCCTTGGACAGCATCTTGAGAACATAGGCCAGGCTGTCCGACGCCACGCGAACAGTCGATCCGTGCGGTGTAGTTTGAACAAGGAACCGCGGCAAGATGCGGCTGACAGTACCGGAGAAGTCGGGCGAGACACGGCAGATTAAAGCCAAGCATCGAAGCACGACGGAGGCCAAGCCATGGTCGGCCATCTGCACCTCGTCTTCGAGGGTCTCTTGGAGCCAAGTCATGAGCACATCTCCATCCGCGGCCTCCTCGTCGAGGAGTGAGCAGTTCAGATACGTGATCAGGGCTGCAGACTTCACGGCAAAGGCCAGCTTCTGCTGATGCGATGAGCCGAGACGGACAAAGTCGGCACCGGCCTCGAGGTACTCCATCTGCTCGACAGCCATACCCGCATACACCTCAATGGAGCGCAGATCGCCGTCAAGTAGCTGGCCAGCCTCGGGCTGAACAGTGCCTGCACCCGACATGAGCAGGTCCAGGATGTGGGTCTTCCTCAAAGCCGGGCCGTCGGCGACCATGAGAGAGGTGCTTGAAAGCACCAGCCACATGAAGCTGCGCTGCAGGAGCGTCGCGCCGAGCGGCCTCCCCGCCAAAGCGTAGTGGCGAAGGAGCCTCTTCCATTCCTTCGCCTCGCGATCCTGGCTGTGGGTGTTGCGGATGGTCGAAAGGGCCGTCTCCACGGCGACGAGGAATTGCTCAGACAGGAGCTGCTTAATCTTCTGTATGAGACCCAGGCGGCCTCCAGCCTTCCAAAAATCGGCCTGGGCAGAAGCCGCATCCAAGAAACCCAGCAGGGCAAGCGCGATAGTGGCTGTTCGGACAGCCTCGTTCATGGGCGGGTTCTCGGGGTCGCTGGCGTGCGGGGAGATGACCGACTCGATGGTCCGGCTGCACGAGTTGGTGAAGGCCCAAATCCCGTCCGTGACTGTCTCCCTGAGGTCGGCGAACTTCAGGCCAAGGGCCAGCAGAGCGCCCGTGGTGTGGAAGGAAAGGGACTCGGTCGGCGACGGCTCGATGCGGCGGAAGAAGGGCGACGGAACGAAGACTTGGGAGTGCGCCTCGAGGACGTAAGGGATGAGCTGAAACGAGAGCCTCTGCGCGCTCTGGGCCGATTGAATGCTGGGCGCCGTCTTGCACAGGGCCAGCAGGACCTCGAACTCGCGAATCGACTACACCAAGGTTAGTCTTCGACTCTTCATCATGCGCGGGCCCCTGAGGCGCATGCGCCCGGAAAGGCATTGACACTGACCATGGGCACGCGGCCCAGCGAGCCGGCTTGCTTCGCGCTGTATCCTCCATGGGCGTACTCTCTCCCCCTGCCTCCCGCATGGCATGCCCGGCACAGCTTGTCAAGGTCGGAGCGGTCGAACGAGGTGGTGGAACTGGCCGCCGACAGCGAAGCTATCTTCTGCAGCGCCTTTGCGCGGATGTCGCTCGCCATGGTCGCTGGATCAGGGGTCCGATGAACGCGCAACAAAACCGGCAGAAACAAAATGAATGGGAAGCAAAAGGACTCCTCGGCAAAAAGGATGAGGGCCTTGCAGATGCAACCCGTGCGGTTGGGGATTTGTTGGGTCGACGACGGCTGGTGGTCGCCGATAATGGGGGAACAGCGGCCAGGTCTCAGGAGCTGCTTGCTTGCTGCCCGTGCTGGTGCCACGAGGCCGAGGCTCCTCTGCGCAGTCGCTGCAGCCAGTCGCAACCGCCCAAACTGAGTGCGCCGCTGGGGGTTGGCCCGGCGCCAAATCTCGCTTAGTCACCGGAGCTCCCCTTCAAGCTGCCCCAGGCTCCGGCCAGGCCAGCTCGGAGCGGCTACGGGGCAAGGCTGCAGGCCTGACGCGTGCACAAGGTGCTCCATTGCTGGCTGGCCGACCTCAGCTCCATCATCACTGCATCAGTCAATCAATCAATCAATCAACCAACCCATCCAGCCACGCAGCGCTGCCGACGTCGTCCGAAATCCCCTATCGCACCACGATCCGACAGCTCCGTCGCCCTTACATTTCCCGTCAAGAGCCGACGAGCGCCTCCGATCCGCCAAGATGGCCGCCATGTTCAGCCAGAACCCGGTCATGAACGGCCCCAACTACTCCTTCTCTGATGCCCCTCAGAACCACAATGGCGAGCCCAGGGAGCATCGCTTCAACCCGTGCGTCACTTCTCTGCGTTCCCCTACGAATCTTCGAGCTCTCGCTGACACTCTCGCAGCTACACCGACAACGGCGGCTCGACGCTGGGCATCGCCGGCGCCGACTTCACCATCGTGGCTGGCGACACCCGTCACACGAGCGGCTACAGCATCAACACCCGCATGGCGCCCAAGGTCTTCAGGATCGGCGGCACGACGGCCTCCCAGGAAGACGCGACGATAGTCCTGTCCGTGTGCGGCTTCGCTGCCGATGGCTCCGCTCTGCGAGACCAGCTCGACACCATCTGCAAGATCTACCGCTACCGCCACGGCAAGCCCATGACCCTCAACGCCTGCGCCAAGCGCCTCTCTACCATCCTCTACCAGAAGCGCTTCTTCCCCTACTATGTCACCGCCATGCTCGGCGGCCTCGACGAGGAGGGCAAGGGCGCCGTCTACTCTTACGACCCCGTCGGCAGCTACGAGCGGGAGCAGTGCCGTGCCGGCGGCGCCGCCGGCAGCCTCATCATGCCCTTCCTGGACAACCAGGTCAACTTCAAGAACCAATACGTGCCGGGCAGCGGCACCGGCCACGACCTCAAGGAGCGTGAGCGCCACCCGCTGTCACGGACGCAGGTCGAGACCATCATCAAGGACGCCTTTGACGGCGCCGTGGAGCGGCACATTGAAGTTGGTGATGCCCTGCAGATGCTCATCATCACCAAGGATGGCATCGAGGAGACGATACTGCCGATGAAGAAGGACTAGGCGTTGCGAGGGGTAACGAGGGGGCCGCCGCTTGTGTGTACAACAGCTACCTTAGACGATTCCAAATTTGACCTGGTATCTCGGGCATTGTCGTGTATATGAGCCGTGAAACTACATCTATTTGCAAGTGCTATCGCAGAGATTCTCCATCGCAGGGGGTCCTTCAGCCAACAAAATCCGAACACAGTCTGTCCGCGTTACACTGCAGGACGGGGCATTGATGTTTGCATGACCAGGGCGGTAAATGGCACGCCCCGAAACTTGCTTCTCATTGGTAACCCGGATGCTGTCGTGAAATTAGTGATCGCTCTAGGGGGGCTGAGCTTTAAAGGCAGTCCGCATGCATGATATTGTGAACTGGACGAGCTTTTAAGGGCTGGTCCGGACTGTCCATGACAGGGGGCGTTACAAAACGCGGAAGCTGGCAGCGTTTTGTTCGCCAACAGTCTCGAAACCTCCATTATCTTGGTGGCTGGCCGTTGGGTTTTGCAAAGTTTAGCATTCGTCGCCTCACTACCTTAACCAAGCAGTCATCGTCGCACTCCATGCTTCCCATCTAACAGCGACGAGACTTCCCAGGTGCGTCAAAGATGTATCCTCAGCACTCTAGACTCTGGGGGGGAGACAACGTTGTCACCGGAGGATTATCGACGGGCGCCATCTACCAGCGCCCCCAACCAGTGCCTCGGTATCAGACAAAGCAGATCACGCCTATCATGTCATTATCGACTCACACAGCTGCCACTCAATCTGCTTGCCTTGTCACACGTGGATCGTTGGGGGAACTTGGAGGTCGCCCTCCTCACCTGTGCGTGGCCATTTGCTGCGACCTCGCGGTAGATTCGCAGCAAAGCTCGAGATCCCGAAATTTCCTGTGCTAACAAAAAGGGTGTCGGGGAGGTAGTCGTGGAGGTCAGGATCTACGAGACAGCTGTCGTATATGGAAGTGCTCGGGAGCGAACGCTCCGGGTGCCCCTCGTGCGCGGCAAGAGGCGTCTGCCTTCGCAGCAGGATCTCGCCGGTGAGGGTGGCCGTTGCGCTGACGCTCTAGCACATAGGCTCCAGCCGCATAGTTTGCTGGAGCGCCGAAGCCGCGAATGGCCTTCTTTGCTCGTGTCTCGTGCCGTCTCGGTTATGAACCAGCGAGCCCAGCCATGATATGAGGCCCATCGTTCGTCTCGTTGTGGTGTGGCATGATGGGGAGGGTGCTTCATCTCGCGATAGATGTGGCTGAAAGTGGGGCTTGCGTCTGTCTCCCGGATCATCCAGGCTACCCTGCACCTTCGTACATTGACAATTTTTGCATCATTTCATGTACGAACACGCGGAGCTGTGGCAACTTGTCCTGTAGAGATTTTGGAGCTGGGATCTAAATCCAGCCAGACTGCACTACCCTACGGTTCCCCGGCTGCGGGTGACCGATTCATCCAGGTTGGCTGCAAATCGTGCGCGCTGTTCTGACCGTGATTGTGTCTGGATTCTGAGGTAATGCCAGTCATTATCAAGGGTGCACAAAAAGCCAATACCTGCACCAGCTAGGCCAAGGCCGCTGACAAAGGGCAGTTTTGCTGCGACCGGGGTTGCGGTTCATCGTCAGGAACATGGCTTGCGAAGCTGCGTCATTGGCGTCATTGACCCGTTGAACAGCGCGAGGACCCTGATGTGGGCCCTTTCGGTGAGATGATGGATGGGTTGATGGGGATGGGGGAAAGCTCGCAGGACAGCCGGAGTTGCATCGCGGATAAAACGTCGTTCGCCGGGAAGAGGTACCGACGAACGGCGTTAATGCGCGATGACTGCGTCCAAGCGGCCATGTAGAATGTTCGAGTACGTGGACATCGGGGAGTCGTCACATGCGGCCCATACCCCGGAAACTGGGCTGGCAGGCTATTGTGGCCCATGGGGTTTTGTTCCTCGATGATGACGCCATGAGGCCGCAGAACCCTTGAACAAAGGCTGCTTCAACAAGTCCATGCCGTTCCACGCCGACGTCATCGCCGGCGTCAGGGACCAAGCGCGACTCTGTGAGTGGGCGCGGTGAGCTGCAAGCTGCGGGCTGCGGAGGCCTGGAAGAGAGGGGAAGATGGGGGTCTTTCGGGGGTCCCTGCCGCCTGTGGCCCAGCTGGGAGCTGGCGCTGTACGGTCCCGCCAAGTGGCTGCTGGTTCGTCGCCTTGACACAGCCGTCGGCGCACCACAAAGCGCGAACCCTGTCACCACAAGCCACCGCCTACTCAAGTACACGCGCTGTGGCGAGCCGTGCGGGCCCCATCAGCCCCAACAAGAGAGAGACAGTCGATGACCTCACTGGGGCCTCGCTGCCGATGGGATCGGATGTTTTCTCTGAGACGCATGCCTGCCACACCCTGTGGCTGCAGGCGACGCAAGCTTCGGTCGCATTCCGTCCAATTGAGGCGTCAATGGCTCCGCGTATCCCGCTGCCGCTCTGCTACCGTACCCCGGAATCCCAGCTGCAATTTAGTACGTACATGGCAACACTGGACCTGTACCGAGCTCGGTGGTAACTCTGCGATATTGCTGCTGCTGCTCGCGCGGACCACTCGATCCGGCCGTCAAGAGACAGGGCACTCAAGCCACCGTACCGTAAAGAAACTGCCCAGAAAGTGGGGAGTCAGGTGAGAGAGAAACAGAGCCGCGCGCTACAGCCTGACGGGGGCTAGTCGAGCTCTTTCCGCTGCCCGCGGGGAGGGGGGTGGGCTGGCCGTGCTGGTCCTGGCTTGCAGCCTTCCACGGCGGTGGCTGAGAAAGGTACGAAGTATTTTTTGGCTCTGTCGCCCTTGGGTTCCCACCGCGCTCCAGGATCGCGATGGTGCCAGGACCAGAGCAGAGGCACCGTCTGACTAGGTCGCTGTTAGCTCTGGAGCTGTCTGAGTCTTGCAGAGTCGAGACGCCGACGTGCCTTGCTGGTGTGGCTCGTTAGTAGCCGCGCCCGAAATTACCATGTCCGAGGCGCATCGTGAATTTCAAAATCCCATGTCTCGAAGGGGGAGCCGGGCCCGAAAGGGAGTGCGCGTAAGGACAAGAGAACCTCGACACCCAATGAAGTCGTCGGCCGCTGGTGGCGAATCCAAGGTGAAGGCGCAAGGGGCGGCGGGACGGGTGAAGAACTAGAGACTGAGAGCGGGCGGGTGGACTGCGCGAGAGGCTTGGCCCAGCCACACATGGCGGGTTCGAGGTACCGTCCGGCAAGCGGAAAAGATCGCCGCCCAGTGGCCTGGCGCTGGCCGTCTCCACGGTCAACCTCAGAGCGCAACTTAGCATGCTGCCGTCCGAGGCAGCGCGCGTGCCATGGCCCCGATGCCCGCAATGGTCAGCCGCTGGCGTCTGCCTCGTCGTCATCGCCCTGTGCTGAAGCCTGCTACAGCACTAACGTTAGTTGCTTCCAGCGCCGTCGGTCGTGTCGCGAGCGGTGCCACGCCGGCCGAGCACCAGTGGAAACCGACGCGGACCGCAAAGTGACAAGTGACGGACCCTTGGCCGATCAGTCGTCAGCGTCCGGGGCCTTGCGAAGGACGGGAAGGGTTGGGGGTGAACAGAGTCAGCGTCCCATCCATCCCCAGCCATAGACCAGCGGCCGTTGGAAAAGGGGCCAAGGACCTAGACGTGGCTGGAGTCGCGCCGCCATTGGGTCGATATCTGCAATTGGCACGCACGCTGTCAAGGGCCTCGAGGGTGTGGTGTTTGGGCTGACTGACCCTGACGCCGCGTGTCCGACAGTCTGCAAGTCGACGTGCCGATCGGATCTGATTGTCGCCGCGTTCCTCGACGCGCGCGGGTCCGTCTCGCACCCCCTGGGGCAGCGACCAAGCCATCAAGCCCACCCCGGGTCAACCTGAGATTCCGAAGGACGCTTGCGCGCTGGCTCGCGCCCTAATGGCAAAGGAAAGCAGACCGGGGGGAGTGTAGCATTCGCGGGTTGTGGGCGAAGATTACAATGACCCGGCCGGACGATGCTACCTCCGGGCAGGAACCTAAGAAGAATCTCGACAAATCCGAGGGCAATGGTGCCGCGCGAAACGCCGCTGGATAGCGATCCAAGGCGACTATCTGATCCCTGTGACTGGCAGTTGGCTTTCTCGGGGCCGACGTCTCGAATGTCGCCACTCAGGGTCCACGCCCACACTAGGGGATGCCGACAAGAGGTGCCACAAACGCAGTTGTGCCAGGATGTGGATTGGCCCTCTCGAGTCTCAACGGCACCAGCGCCTGGTCCGGCCAGGACAGCATATGTCCATTGGCCACTGGCAGGCCGCGAAAGCCGTGGATGTTGGTCCGCGGGGCGTCGTCGTCATAGCACGTAGCCAGCAGACTGGACACAGTGGGCAGCGGCCGGACCGACAGCGTGCGAGTGCCCGTCATGTCCCTGCCGGACCCTGGTGCCAAGGCCGGCGAGCACCTTGGATGCTTGGTCGGTGCCGCCCCTAGTCGGGAAGCTGGGCTGCCTGCCGTGGGGAGCGCCGATGCGAAGCTGTCGCTCGTGTGGCTTGCACTTGGGTGGATGTGCGGCCGCGCTGGCGTGTGGGCGGCCTGCAAGCCAGCGTGGGCGTGGATGCGGATGTGGACATGGGCGTGGGCGTGGCAATGGGAACGGGGGAAAAGGATGCCCAACGGGGGAGCGGCGGCGGCTTACACGCAGGCCAGACAAATGGAACGACATGGAACTGGCGGTTCTTGCCCCGATCTGCGCGGCTTGGATGCCATGCTTGGGATGCGTGCTTGCTTGCTTGCTTGCTGGGTACGAGTACTTGTAGCTCCCAAGCCTCCAGCTCCTTCCTCGGGTTGCTCCTCCCCTTGCCCTGACCCTCCGGCTAGCAAGGTACAAGACGTGTAGGTACGTGTACGAGTACTCGTGCTTCTGCAGCTGCTGCAGTGTCTGGTACCAACTCCGCCTCTACCGCCTGCAATCGCGTCTAGTACCGAGTACCCGCCGCGGGCCTGTCTCTGGTCCCTCGTGCTGTTTGTTTCTGCACTGCCGGTCTTGGAAGGCAGGCACAGGCGCCATCTGATTAGGTACCTTGCCATACCTTGCCAGACCTTGCCTCCCGCTGCCATCCTGCCCATCGGCCCTGTCTGCGCCTCACAGCTGCCAGACGCCCGCCTGCCGAGCTGCCGCACTGCCGCGCTGCCACCCCAAACCTTGGAAGGCACTTGCCTTGGTCTGGCATCTGGACCAGTGCCTTATTAGGTGCGGTAGTCGGTACTTCATAGCCTCCCCTACCCACAGGTACCGTGCCTCAGTAGTGCGAGTACGGCGTTGCAGGTAAGAGCCCCCCGAACTGCACCCCCTTCAAGCTCCTTCTGTGTTTTCTGCCTTCTTCCCCCCGTGTCGGCAAGGGCTACCGGTGCGCTGGAGGACTCGCGCGGGCGTCGCTACTTGTGGCGAATCCACCATCCCTGCAACAGCTCGAGGAGCTCTTCCCCTTTCTCTTTCCTTCAAGTACATTACCCGCCGTCTCGATCGCTGCACTTGCAGGTTCTCGCTCTTGGCCAACTCGAAATCCCCCATCTACCTCACCATCACCCGCCAGGAAAAGACATCTTGCGGGCACGGGCGCGTCCCCATTGTTCGTTGCGGCTCGACGCTGCTCCCTCCCCTTTCTGTCGACTCCAGATTTAAACTCGGATCCGAATTCACCCCTGCCACCACTCTGACATCTCAGCGAACAGGCACCTAGCTAAGGGATTCTGCTATACTTTGCACTGTACCTCGTAGGGCTTTGCACACCAATTCAATAGCGGCACGGCCGTTCGTTCCTTGTCCGCTGCCGCGTGGGACAAGCAGCAAACGGGCTAGATTCAAGTGTCCACACACCATTGCACACTCCCCACCCTCAAGCCAGTCTAAAGGCGCCTTTCAGGTCGGCAAGGCTAGAGAGGACGAGGGCGAGGCGTTGAGGTTGACGCGCCACTCTTCCCTGAGACTTGGAGCGCTCGTCACGGCCCCCAGAGGCTCCTCGAGGCGCCGACAGGAGCAGCAGAGGGTCATTTTTCAAATTTCACCTCCTGAATACCTACTCATCAACACGCCCGCGAGCTTCCTTCCAGCTTGCTGCCAGTCAAACGCGTGCCGACGCTTCTTCTTGGCTCGGCCCACTGCCCAACGGACATCTGGACTCGGTCAGCCGAGCTCGACGACGGTACCTCCCCCCCAGTCACTCTCGTGCTTCGACCGACCCGCAGCCCGTCCTTCGACAGGGCCAGGCGCCGAGAAATCACTCCCTGTCTCTGATGGGAATGGCCTTATGATACGCACACCTCCTGCCCGTTTCCACTCTGGCGCCTCCCTTGCCCTGACCACTCCGCAAACCCATCCGCCTCGGGACTCCATCGAGCGCCTCACGCCCCAAGCCTAGCTGGCAGAGCTCCTTTCCCCGTCCATGCCCGAGACTTTGGCCATAGCGCTGCGAAAGTATCTGCCTTCGATTTAATCCACCCTCAACGCGGCAAGGCCGCCGTCTCTGCCTTTCAATACACGTCACACTGGTTTTGACGATTATTTTCCCTTGCTCATAGCTCTTCAAGTCACTTGCATCGCAACCCTCTGCACCCTCACAGGAGGAGATAGGCTGCGACGTCCGTGCCCGATTGCTTCTGCAAGGAGCGGGCGTGGTGAGGGCTTTGCTCAAAGCGAAGACGAGCGGCACCGCTCCCGCGCTTGGATTGCCACAACCCTACGCTGCACCCCCCGCCATCCACTCTTCCTGTGTATTAGGAAATCAGAGCTCGATCGCCCGATCCCGCTGCCTCCCAGAAATCCTTGTCACCTACATCACAAACGTCGACGATTCTTTGTCCCATTTCCTGTTTGGAAAGTCCACATCGGCAACTATAAGCTCTTGGGCTACTAACAGAAGCCCGCAAGGGACCCTCCGTATCGACTCCCTCTCACGAGGCATTCACCACATACCGGCTTCCGTCACAGCTTGCTTAGCCTGGCATTTGACACCCATCTGCGGACGATTTCTCCTTGTTTGAATTTTGGCCTGCTGCCGCTTGAACTCGACGACTTCCAGCCCCTTGTTGGCCAGAACTTACACGAAAAGGTAGCATCTATCTATTGCACTCCGTCGTGCGAAGGATTCCGGCACTGCCGCCTACCGCAGACGCCTACTAGGGCGGCGATCCGGCGGGGTGAGGAGCTCTGTTGACGCTCTCGCCTGCTCAAACGCATCGTGCTGTCTGATTCCGAGCAAGTATGTACCACGGCAGCCTGAATAGCCCAGGGCAGCAGATACTATACCCGCGTTACACTCAGGATGTGTTTGTTGGCTAACACGCGTTAGACGGACCGATCACGTCGCCAACCGGTACTGTACACATCCTCCTTTCGATGGCAATGGGCGAAGCAACCACACTTGCACCGATGACGGGGTCAGGGGAGACATCTGCCGCGGGAAAACCACCTGGCTCAGGGGCACCTCAATCGGACGGCCAGGGGAAGCAAGCGATATCAAGCCAACCGCCCGTGGCGTATTCTCAACAACCGCCAATGAATGCCCGCCATGCGTTCTCTTCCCAGTTGGAGATGGGATCATCCCCGCCGCCATACTCTCCTAACGGTTCCTACGATATGACGCAGATGGCGAACGCCTTGCCTGGCGGCGGATTCCGGTCGGGTCAGTACCCTCAGGGGCAGCCACGCTATCATACCGGTAACTCGCAGCCGATGCTTCAACAGCCGCCGCATGTACCAGGATACGGTGGCCCGCATGCCATTCCGATGGGTAACCAGGGCTATTATGTTCACCAACCACAAATACACCCCTATTATGGCGCTGCCCCAATGTCACCAACACAAACGCAGCCAACAATGGCCGGCCGGCAAGTCATGCCGTACTACTCAGGACAGATGATGATGAACCCTCCACAGTCTGCCTATTACTATCCGCAGGGAGGTCAGTATGCGAACCAAACACAAGCTGTCGGAGGGAACTTGGCACACAACACCTACGTCCCAGGACAGCCGTTCAACGCGGATACTCGTACGAACCATACACATGACGCGCGGGCCATCCCTCAACACGCTGCGAGACAAGGTACTGTACCGCCCCTCGTCCAACATCGCGTCGTGCAGCCGCTGACGTCTAGTCAGACGAGTCAGGTCGGCAAGGGTCTGTCCGAGGGCCACCAAGGAAGCCTCGACAAAGCGGTGGGTCTTTAACGAACTCCTCTTCCAACCTCAGTCTCGCCTGGAATCAACTGACTCTGTTCAGGCCACGCGATTTGGATCGGAAATCTCCCTCCACAGACAGACTTGATGAGTCTCGTGCAGCACGTCTGCAAAGAAACCGCGGGACTCGAGTCTCTCTTCCTCATTTCGAAAAGCAACTGCGCCTTTGCGAATTTCAAAGACGACAAGACCTGCGTCGCTGCGCAGCAGAAGCTCCACGATTCTAAATTCCAAACCGTACGACTGGTCAGCCGACTGAGGAAGAATACCGTGGAGGGTGCGACAGGACTGACTGCTCCGACGGGGCCGTCGGCGAATAATACGCCAAGCGTCTCAACCCAGGCGCAGGGCGACCCTCCGCAAGACGACGCTCGGTCAGAGACTGAGAGTCTGAGTTCCGCAGTTCATCCGCATGAGAATGCAAGGCCGTCAGTATCTGAGGTCGGTTCGCAGCAAGACCGGTTCTTCATCCTAAAGAGCCTTACCATGGAAGACCTCGACCTGAGCGTATCGACCGGCATATGGGCGACGCAGTCGCATAACGAAGAATCTCTCAACAATGCCTTCAAGGTATGTCGTAGGCTTTCATGTTTACGTCTGGTGGAGATTCCACTAACTTGCAGTCAGAGTGCGGATAATGTCTACTTGATATTCTCCGCGAATAAATCAGGAGAGTACTTTGGATACGCTCGAATGACATCGGAGATCAACGAAGACCCTGCTGCAGCCATTGAATTTGCGCCAAAGGCGCAGGCAGCCGACGAACTGGACCTCCCGAAGGCGATTCCGACCGAAGCGACTGAATATGCGCCAAAGGGCAAGATCATTGATGATTCGGCCCGAGGCACTATATTTTGGGAAGCGGAGAGGGACGAAGCGGACGTAGGGTCCGATAATGAGAGTGAGGACTCAAGCGACAAGAGCGCTCTGGTTGACGGCGAGGCCAAGACTTGGGGTAAGCCCTTCAAGTTGGAATGGCTGTCTACACACCGTCTCCCATTCTACAGGACCCGAGGTCTGCGAAACCCGTGGAACTCCAACAGAGAGGTCAAGATTGCAAGAGATGGAACGGAGTTGGAGCCGTCGATTGGCCGCAGGTTGATTGGACTTTTCAATCGAGTCCAGAGTCCTGTGCCCATGGCCCCGCCAATGGGCATGCCTATTGCTATGGTGCAGGGCTATCCAGCAATGCGGCCGTACGGGTCTTAGGACCCAAGTGGGTGTCTGCTTTACGGACCTGACTCAATGGCATGAGGGGAAATCCATGCTCATACTCAAGGGACAGGATCAGTGGACGACGGATCTGGCCGTCAACTCACGGCACTGCATCCATGCCGTCGAACAAATTGCACGAACTCAGTGGCAAAATACACGAATGACAACTACGCAATGAAAAGCATATCACGCGGGTACGGAGCATGATCATATGGCAAAGCGACTATTGCACGTGTTGTCGTGTTATGAGGTTGTTCGAGGGTGGGGGACCTTGACCTTTGACATCTTGGCTCGACTGTATCCGGGCTACACGTTGCAGAAGTGACGAAATCTCACCAAAAGTGGTCAGTACGACTGCCTTGATACCCGCCCAGATGGAGTTCGACAGGACGCTGGGGGGGTGTCCAGTACAAGCGTGAGAAGGTGGCCGCCTGGGGGCAAACAGGCATGAGGTCGAGCTATGTGGCTTGTGGGTGGCGACAGAGGCGCGACGCGGGTGGTGTGGCTTGTCCGCTCTGGCGTCAAGCTGCCCAAGAGCCGACGGTGTTAGTAGTTGGTTGCCTGTGAGCGGCAGGCTGTTGGTTGGCTCTCGGTTGGCTCCCACGAGTGACGATGGCACGGAGCTCCAGACCGATGGCAACACAGCTGCATCGCCTGGGTCGGCGAGTGAGGGGCAAGACAAGAAATCACCACGCGATGACATCTTTCTGCGCTCCATCTCTGGGATGCAAGGGCTAGTACATCACGATCCGATGGTAGATGTTTCGCGGCGTCGCGACTGGGACGATGGGCCCAACACCTACGTCATCCGAGGCGCTGGCGGCGGGCCAGAGACGGCGCCGGCGGCATCTTCAATGCTGCCCGAATAGGAAATAGTGGACAAAGTGTCGGATTATGTAATACGACTTCTTTTGGTTCTTGGTAGACCCACAGCGAACACCTCGAGCTTGCTGTGTGTAGTACTTGGCACTACTGAATGTCCAGCCATTCTCGCGACTCAATACTCGACCGGAAATTGCAGTGAAGGTCTGGTGCTACGTGGTCCGGGCATGCCCGAACGTATTGGAGCGCGCGACCGTTAGCGTGCAGCGAGGCTGTCTCCCATGTGGCCGGCGACGTGGTTGGTCCTGTTGCGAGAGAGTGGTACCCATCGCGGGGCAGCAGCGCTGGCAGGTGCTGGAAGGTTCCACACCCGTCCAGCACTGGCTGGACATCACCACCAGCTTCATCATCCGCAAATGTCAGCATCCACGCCACGGGCCGCGCAACTCTCTGTTCAGCCTGCTCCAAGCTTAGTCGAGAGCTGTTCTAGAAATGTCTGCTCACAAACTCGTCGAGTATTCCGGAAGATGGGAGAAGGCTCGCAGCCTGTACGTTTTGGGGTATAAAGCGCGCCATAGGGTCCTAAGAGTCAAGCCTTCTCTCTTCATCAGAGCACTCTCAATCACACAAGCAAGCATTTTATGCAATCTTACAGACCATCTCTTCCACGAAGACTTCCTCGCAACCTGAAGCGACTTTCCATCATCAAACCCACCAAGTCTACCCAAACCCGCACAATGGCTTTCTTCCCGCGCCACTGCTACAACCGCGAGGCTTCCTTCACGCCTCTCTTCCGTCTCCTCGACGAGTTTGACAGCTACTCTCGTGGAAGCACCCAGACTCGGCGGCCCGCAAACCCCACATGGCAGCCCAAGTTTGACGTCCGCGAGACCAGAGAGCACTATGAGCTCCACGGCGAGCTCCCCGGCGTCGACAGGGAGAATGTCCAGATTGACTTTACCGAGCCACAGACGTTGGTAGTCCGCGGTCGGACTGAACGGTCCTACACCACAAGCAGCGCGGATTCCGACGAGCTTGAGGGCACGCACACTCCAGACACCATCACTGAGAGCGGCGAGGAACCCCACGGCTCGCCTCACCAGGCGACCGTCGAGGATGAGAGTGACTCGGCATACGAGGTCGTTGAGAAGGCCCAGCAGCAGACCACCAAGAAGCCCGAGGAGGTCGCCAAGAAGCCCACAGACACGGCCAAGTACTGGCTCTCGGAGCGCAGCATCGGCGAGTTCTCTCGCACGTTTAGCTTCCCGAGCCGCATCGACCAGGACGCCGTCACCGCCAACTTCAAGGACGGCATCCTGAGCGTCACGGTTCCCAAGGCCAAGCCTCACGAGGCGCGCCGCATCGCCATCAACTAAACGGCGAGCGCGACACACTCAAACACCAACGACTTTCCAGGAATTTTGAAATGATTTCTGGTGTATTTCATTCATGACAGCATGCATTGGACGGTGTTGGGGGGGTTTCTTTGGTATCGCGTCGCATAAATGCTTGTATTGGAACGTCGGCTACAATAGCGGTTCACCCGACGCTCATTCGGTTGCATAGAGTACTCTCGACCAAATCATGATAATCAAGACAATTTCAAAATTCGATAATTCCATTGCCTGTGAAATGTACGAAAATAAAAAGTAGACTTGATGATGACCGATCATGTACAACTTGGCTGGCCCTTAAGCAGTCACATGACTTGGCGTTAGTGGTGGCGTTGGTGCCTGTTGTCGAGACGCGTCCCGCCGCGCTTGCTAATCAACACCATCACATCCCTCGTCAGCGACGCGCCCGCTCGTTGAAATTTTCGCCAGCGTCCCGTGTCCTGTAGACCATCCTGTGTATCCCGCAGGCGATCCGACAAAATGAGTGAAGAACACGAGGAGTCCATGATGGGTGAGGAGCAGATGACCTCACCCGGCGCGCCGACGCCCCTCTCGGCCCTCGAGGTAGGATCCCCAGCGTGGCGAATCGATGAAATTTTGCTTACAATTGGTGATTTCAGGGGATCGCTGGCTTGACCAAGCGCGACATTCAGCTCATTGTCGATGGCGGTTTCAACACAGTCGAGTCCGTCGCGTACACCCCGCGTCGAATGCTGGAGCAGATCAAGGGCATTTCGGAGCAAAAGGCGGCCAAAATTCTGGGAGAAGGTATGTTCTCAAGCCGACATAATTGAAGTGGCAAGGGATAACCGATATTTGCAGCCTCAAAGCTGGTTCCCATGGGCTTCACGACGGCGACTGAAATGCACCAGCGACGAAGCGAGCTTATTTCTATCACGACCGGATCCAAGAACCTCGATACTCTGCTGGCCGGTGGTATCGAGACCGGCTCGGTGACCGAGCTTTTCGGAGAGTTCAGAACAGGAAAGAGCCAAATCTGCCATACGCTGGCGGTAACGTGCCAGCTGCCCTTCGATATGGGCGGTGGCGAGGGAAAGTGTCTGTACATTGATACCGAGGGCACGTTCCGGCCCGTCAGACTATTGGCCGTCGCCAATCGATTTGGTCTGTCAGGGGAAGAGGTTCTCGACAATGTAGCCTATGCGCGCGCGTACAACTCGGATCACCAGCTGCAGCTGCTGAACCAGGCCGCCGCCATGATGTGCGAGACGCGGTTCTCTCTCCTCGTCGTTGACAGCGCCACGGCCCTGTACCGGACGGATTTCTGCGGACGTGGCGAGCTCTCAAACAGACAGACACACCTCGCCAAGTTCATGCGGACGCTGCAGCGCCTGGCGGACGAGTTTGGCATCGCCGTCGTCATCACGAACCAGGTCGTCGCACAGGTCGACGGCGGCCCGAGCGCCATGTTCAACCCTGACCCGAAGAAGCCCATTGGCGGCAATATCATTGCCCACGCCAGTACGACCCGGATCAGCTTGAAGAAGGGCCGCGGCGAGACGCGCGTCGCCAAAATCTACGACAGCCCCTGCCTGCCCGAGAGCGACACGCTGTTTGCCATTAACGAGGATGGCATCGGGGACCCGTCGCCGAAGGACATGGAGAAGGATTAAGATGGGCGGCATGCGACGGAGGTCACGGTAATGATGGAACGAAGATGGGTTTCTGCCCGGGCTACGCATGAATCATGGCGTTTGCGTTTATTTGATTAAGCAACTGTGTGCCTAGAATCTCTAGATTTGAGAAAATTGTAATGCTCTGCTTATTTGCAACTTCTAATGTTACCCGTTTCGCTTGGTCATTGACAGCCGCCAGGACGGCATTGTTCCGAAATTGTGTCCAGCATGGTGCTTCTACACATCGAATCGTGCCTAGCAGCCAAGCCGGGGCTCACGCTCGAGTTTCTGCGCCTCGGCTGTTAACACTAGACGACTTTCTTAGATTATTCTGATTTCAATTGATTTGTCCTCTTTTCCACCTATTGTTGTTCTTGTTGTCTCTACAGCTTGGCGTCGTGCCAGCGTTCGCGTGGTGACACCCAGCTGATTTCCACATCGGGTTAGCGCGGTTGCAACCTCCAAGTTTCCAACGCTCGAATTTCCTTCGTGCCTCCAGACGCGCCTCCAACCGCCGCCGTGCTCGACCATCAACTGCGCCGCCCTCCAACCCGACATCGAAACCCTTCCTCCGCTATCATTCGTCGCTTGATGGAGGCGAGATGGATTCGAGCGAAACCCAATATCTCTTCAAAGAGACGCGCTTGAACCTCGAGCCTCCTGCGCCGGCCTCGGTCGTGACGATCCGGGTGCCCTCCAAAAGCGGCGGCGGTCGACAGCAACAGCGGCTGGCGCTCGAGTCGTCTGCCGAAGATGAGACGACCTTCAAGATCAAGAACCTCGCGTCCGCGTCCTCAGTGTACCACCGGAGATGGCACGACACGCCGCGCAGCTTCCTGTGGAGGGTGCTCGAGGACGGCACGCTGCTGAGCATCCGCGCGGCGGACGTGTGCAAGAAGGACAAGGCCCCCGATGCGCCGCTCGTGCTGAATTTTCACTTTGCGGTGCCGATCCAGCAGGGCTGCGTGGCATTCGCGGACCCGGAGGAGCACGACGCGCTGTGCGTGTTTGTCCTGGACCAGGCGTCGCAGTTGTACACGTTTACCCTGCGGCCTGACCTGTTCCGCAAGAAGACGGCTGTTGACGCTGGCCTGTCTGAGCTGGGCAAGGTGCAGTCCCCGGCGGGCTTGGGCTTCAAGACGGCGCACCGGCTCGTGGCCGTGTCGGCGGATATCCTGCTCGCCACGGTCAACGACGGTGGCATGATTCGATTCGACAAATCGCGGACAGACGACAGTGAGTTGCTCCTAGTGGACCTGCTCGATGGATAACGCTGGGCTAACCCAGACACAGCATCCAGCGGCCTATGGAAGGAGTCATTCTTCAACGTGCAAGGCTGGGCTCAGAACCTTCGCAGCTTGCTACCGTTCCAGGGCAAACACACCATCAGGTACGGCAAGGTCAACATGGAGTACAGCGCCGCGACATCACTGCAAGTCACATCTTTTGGCCTCGAGAATGCCTTGTTCGCCATCACGGTCTGCCTCGATCATCGAATGCGCATCTGGAACATCGAGGACGGCCAGATTCTCTACACTGGAGACCTTTTGGACGTGGACCGGCCGCCGCAGGAAGTGGGCAAATGGTCCATCGACCCTTCGCAGGCAAACCTAGTCCAAGTCGTCGGACGGCATCGCGGCCAACGGTTCTGTGCGACGTATTCCCCGATTGGCCCGGGAGAGTTCAAGTTCTGGAAGATCATCGCCAAGGACTCGCATACTGTTATGGTCGAGGACATGTTTCCGAGGAACACTTTGCTGCCCCCAACGCCGTCGTCCTCGGATATTTGGACGCTGGCCGACTTTGTCTTGGCGTCACCAACGGAAGGTGCAGTAAATGTCTGGACTCTTTGGAAGAACAACATGACGTACAGAGTGCAACGCCTGGAGCTCGACAGGAAGAACATGGGCCCGACGTGGGAGTCGGGCTGGGAGGGCGTCTATGCTGATACGGCCATCGTTGCTGCACAGACTTCGGGCCCCTGTGACTCGACAGACGTTACAGAAAAGTGGCTTCAAGCGATCCTACAACCCGGGCGTTTCACAAAGGCAACGTTGGAGACGGCCTTGTCCATCTATGAGCGGGGATTGGGCAAGTCCAAAGACAGCAGCAAGGGCAGAGGTCTCGCTGAGTCGATTTGCTCTGTTCTAGGCTCCACGGCATCCCTGGAGCGCGGCCCATCGGGCGCCATGGACTACGAGCAATTCCGAGCGTCGAGCGAGACCCAGTGGCGGCGATTCTACCGGCTTCTCATCGAGCTCGACAGGCAACGAGGAGAGGCCATTGGGCTGGCGCTCGACCCCGAAGCCGACATGGTCTGGGTCGTGTGCACGGATCTGCTCTCCGCCATCACCGAGTGCAGCAACCTAGAGCGACTACACCATAACATAACAAAGCCAGACGAAGACCAAGTTGACCAAGCGGCACTGGTCGGCTCCGCCTTGGCGTTCGTGGATGGGTTCTCGGACAATTACGTGCAGCTCTGCACTGCAGTCCTGCGGCAAGAAATATTCGAGGAGTCTTCCAAGACGGATCTGGAACGCATCCAATACTTTTCAGACAAGGCTGGCTTCTGGCGCGGCATTACCGACGAGGACTGCGCCCAGGTCGTCGACGCCCTAGGCACCAACTTCGGCGTTGTCACCGATGATCTCTACCGATCTGTCCTGGATTTGATTGCTGCACCGCCAGAGGCGAAACGACGCCACCTTCGACACCCGCTGACTGAGTTTGGCAAGAAGCTCGTCATGAAGGGTGTCCAGGACAACATTGACCTTCAGTGGAAGGTGTGCTTCTCACAGCTCATTCTCCTCGTACACATGGAGTTTGAGTTCGACACGGAGGAAGAGGCTCTGCATCATCGGGTCAGCATCGGACCGGTATACCGGGAGCTTGTGAGCGCGCTGCGGAGACTAGAGCTGCTTAAGTGGCTCTCACGGACAGAGCTGTCCATCCCATTATTCAAGACAGAGAAGGGAGCGGCGCCGGTACTCTCGAAAAAGGGCGCCGAGGAGACGCAGGTTGTGACGGCCTTGGAAGCCAACGTGGGGCATCTACTCGGCTTCGGCAACGTCAGGAATGAGCCGCTGTCGTTCAGCATCACCGAACTCATCGCGAATCTTTGCGCACCTGACAGCGATATCGAGGTGTCCCCCACGCTCATCCAATGTTCGCTGGTCAAGCAGGAAAGGGCCGACCTGGCTCTGGACCTGGCACCCTTCTGCGACCAAAACCCGTTCTCGGTCTACATCCAAGGACGCGTGATGCTGGTGCTTAGAGACTTTGAGTCGGCAGCTATCAACTTCAGGAAAGCCGCCATTGGCATGGGTATGTGTCAAACAGCCAAGACAGAAAGCAAACAAAGCTAACTCGGTACAGCGACTCAGAATGTACAGTCAGACCGACACAGCTGTGGGCTGCTCGACGACACAGAGTGGAACCTGCTCAATAGCGGTCAGGCCAAGTACTACTCCCATATCGTTGCGCTGTTCGAGGCGCACAGGGCATACGCCTACGTCCTGGATTTCGCTCGTCTCGCAGTCCAGTTCTTGAACGTCGGCAAGAGCAACGAATCCGCTCACGCGGACATGCTTAGCCGGCTATTCAATGCTGCCCTGGCCACTTCGCAGTTTGAGCTGGCGCATACCAGCCTGCTGTCCATGAAGAACGAGGCCCTCAAGCATTCCAGCCTGCGAAAGCTCGTTGACAAGATGTGCGAGACATATCACAGCCACGAGCTGGTATCATTACCGTTCCCGGGGATGCAACAAGACGTGGAAACGATTCTCGCCCAACGCTGTAGGAACGCGATGGACGTGATCAACGGGTTCCCTTACCACCAGGTGCTGTACGCCTGGAGGATGAAGCGCAGCAACTATCGCGGCGCGGCCTCGGTCATCCTGGACCGAATCCAGAAGCTGAGGCACGCCGGCGAGGGGGACAAGATTGACGGCGAAGACGTGCTCGACACACCAGTCACGAGACACTACCTGTTGCTCATCAACGCGCTCAGTTGTGTGGACCCCAAACAGGCCTGGATCTTCGACGAGGGTGTCGAGCACAACGGCGAGGCCCCGAGGCGGAAGGTAGTCTCATTGGCGGATATAAGGAAGCAGTACCAGGACGAGTTGGACCGGATCGCTGCGATCCAAAATAATCAGTTTGGTTTCGAGGCGGGCGATGTCATGGAGATTGCATGAGGGACCTGGCGGCCGAGGGGACTGTACAATTACAGCAAAAGAGACCTCTTTTGGAGAGACTAGACGAGGGAATGGCGGTTCAGATACCTTGGGAACTCGGGCACAGGATCATAACGGAGTAACGATGATTTGGCACGTCTCTTTTAAAAGTGTCTACGCTACGTTTTGAACTAAACGACGCAGGAACTTGCCCAGCTCAATGATACCAAAAACGCCGAACCCTATGCTAGAAAAACACGACGTGACTATGAAAAGAGGATATCGCTTGGCTCTTCCGGGGCAGCTCATCCCTGGGCGGCGGCAGCTTGGGCGGCAGCCATCTTGACCTCGTTCGGCGCCGGCAGGGTCTGGATGCCACCCTCGGGAGCCTGGATGGCGTCCGGGGCTTGGCGGTAGAGAATGATCTCGGATTGCTTGAAGTACCGGCGAGCATCTTGAAAAGGTTAGCGGATTGAGCTTGCGCGTAGGCGTAGATCGGGGAGGGGGAGGAGGTACCCTCATCTATGAGGACCAGGCTGAGGTAGTATCTTGTCGAGAACTTCTTGTTGACGTCGCGGAAGGTCGGGGTGAGGTCGAAGCCGCCGAGGAAGAGGCGGATGGGGATGGTCTCGCCGCGCGAGGGCGAGCCGTCCATGATCTCAAAGCGGACGAGGGTCTCGCTCTCGTTGTACTGGTTGGGCGCGGCGCCGGTGGTCTCGCGGCGGATGATGGACAGCTCCATGTGCTTGATCTTGAGGCGGACGAGGAGGAAGTAGATGCGGCCGACGATGACGTCCTTGAGGTGGTACTTGCTCTTGCTGTACTCGAACTCGATGTGGAGGCAGTCCTCGATGCCGACGTCCATCTTGATGCTCGAGTTCATCTCCGGGGGGATGCGGTACGAGTAGACCCAAATGTCCTTTTCGCGGATGACGTCGGCCATGCGGCGCGAGACGGTGACGCGGACAAAGTAGCGCAGCTTGACGTTGATGCCGTTGTACGACTCGTACTGCTTCTCGACGTTTTTGAAGTTGAAGTCGAACGTCTGCGGGTGCTGCAGCTCGCCGGGGGCGGCGAGCTCCTGGTTGAGGGAGAGGAACTCGTAGTGGTTGCCGCGGTCGAAGAACATCTCGATGGTGCCGATGAACTGCACCTTGACGCCCGTGTGCTCGAGGCGCTTGCCGTCCTTGGGGCGGACCGTCACGGCGCCCTTGACCGACTCGCCGTCCATGTAGAGGGGCGCCTTTTCGCGGCGGTTCTTGTCGAGCTTGACGTCGACCATGGAGCGGTCGTCGGCGTCCTCGAGGACGATGTCGATGTCGACGGGGGTGGAGAAGAAGTACGACATGGTGGGCGGCGGGCGGCGGGCGGCTTCGGCGGCGGCGGCGGGGGATTCCTCGTTGTCGGTGTTATGTCGTGCGCGAGGGCGGGGTCGCGGAGGAGGGCGGTGTCTGTGTGGCCTGGGCGGCCAGCTGTTGCGGACGTCGATGGGCGGACGTTGAGGGGGGCGAGGGATGCGATGCGATGCTGCGCGACGGCCGGGTCGTGGTGGTGGTGTTGATGCGCTGACGTATCGCCGGGGCGGGAGCTATCAGCTGGCCGCGGCCAGGCCTCGCGGCCCAGCTTACAGTGGGGGACTTGCGCGCGCCGTTGCAGGAGCACCTGTCACTCGAACGGTGCGCAGTGCAAAGTTTCGGGCATTGCCTGGTGTATAGGGGGTCCCGAGGATGCTCGTCTTTACTACTGATGAGAAATAGTACTGTGAATTTCAGTGGAATAAAAGGCAGTGCTGTTTCTAGTAATTATGTCCGTCACGCCAGCTGCGATGCCGGCGTCAATTGAAGACCGACTTCCCCCTGACGCTGTCGGTGCTCACTGCTCAGTGCTCTCTTTCAACGGAGGCCAATGCAGGCCAATGCGACGACCGAAAGTGGGGCTGGCGCGCAATCGTTGACACAGTCAGGCAGGTCACGTGAAATGTCATGTCCGCTCTTCCGAAGACGCTCTTCGCCTGTTGGTCCGACGGTTTGACCCCACCGGCCATCTTTGCTCTTGGTCTCCACCCAAGCCGGCCGGCTCAACTCCGGCGCGCGCAACTTTTGCCCTCACGTGCGGCGAGCCCTAGAACTTTTCCCGCCCACACGATTTCGCCAACAATTCGTCGTGACCGCCGCCCCGACGTCCCAAGACACCCTCACCTCGACAATCCCCTCCGCAACCACAATACCGGCAGGATGAAGTACATTCATTCTCAGGAGCTCCTCGACATCCCCGAGGGTGGTACGTTTTACTCTGCGCCGCCCGCCGTCCGCCGCCTCCGTCACCGTTTTCCCGTCCGCGTCCCGACCAATTCTGGCCATCCGCCCCAACGGCCGCCCCGATCGCAAGTTTCGCCTGTCGAGAAACGAAGAAAGTCTTCGGCCGTGGGCCGAGCGAGCGATTGGGCGGCCGGACGAATTGCTGTCGATGCGGACGACGAGTGACTGGGCTGCGATGGGAAGGACAGACAGTGCTGACAATTTTTTCCCCGTGCAGTCAAGCTCGCCATCAAGACGAGAATCGTCACCGTCGAGGGTCCCCGAGGTACGAACACACCCACCGCCGCGAGACACACGAATCCTCCCCAAGTCGTCGAGCAGTCAAGTCTAACAGCGGTGGAATCGCAGGCAAGCTCGTCAAGGACCTCGGTCACCTGGCTGTCAACTTCGGCCACCCCAAGAAGAACACCATCTCCATCGAGATCCACCACGGTGCTCGCAAGGATGTCGCCACCCTGAGAACCGTCCGCTCCATCATCAACAACATGATCATCGGCGTCACCAAGGGCTTCAAGTACAAGATGCGCTACGTCTACGCCCATTTCCCCATCAACGTCAACCTTGACCAGAACAAGGAGACGGGCGTCTGGGAGGTCGAGATCCGAAACTTCATTGGCGAGAAGATTGTCCGACGGGTGACCATGGCCGAGGGCGTCGACGTCGAGATCTCCAAGTCCCAGAAGGATGAGCTCATCCTGACCGGCAACTCCCTGGAGAACGTCTCGCAAAGCGCCGCCGATATCCAGCAGATCTGCAAGGTCCGGAACAAGGATATCCGAAAGGTGCGACCCGACTTGCTCCCCCTCCATGCTGGCGCCGCCATGGCTGTGGTTTGTCGTCGACAAACCCGACCGGCGCGGCATTGGCTACGAAGCGAGTCCAACATGCTAACAATGCCGCAGTTCTTGGACGGTCTGTACGTTTCCGAGAAGGGCAACGTTGTCGAGGAGTAGACGCGGGTCACGGGGATCTTGTTTCTTTTGCGTTTCTGGGTCTCTGGAGTGGCGAAGGTTTAACCATATGCATGTCACGTAGCAAAAGGGCTACAAAAGAAACTTTTCAAAAGTAAAGCGAGAATCCATTGTGCCAGCAGCGGCAACAGCTGCGCCCAACACTACCGCTTACCTGCGCCGTGCCGAGTGGGAGAGGAGGGGATTCCGGGTGGTGGTGGTGGGACGGCCTGTCCGGCGAGATGCGGTGGTCGGGCCAGAAAACGGAGTTTGCATTTTCGGGCGTGCCAAAATAATGAGGGAAAAGAAAAAAGAAGATGACGGATGACAATTTTGATCCATGGTCGTTATTACATTGGAGAGTGAGCTGCATGCGACGCAGTCAAGCTGGGCCGCTCTCTCCAGTCTATGCTATGTGCGGTATCGTTCGGCGTCAGAATGGCCGTCTCAGGGGATCTACTTCCCTGGCCGTTCGCGCATCTCGTCTCGTATCTCATCCGCCTCTGGAGGATGCCATCCATCCAGCGCTCGTTTCCATCCATCATGAGTCTCGTTCATTCCGTCTCCCTCCCCCCTTCCCTCCAGCCGCAATCTGTTCGTCCCGGAACAACGACAACAACAGAAAACAACGAATTCGACTCGCTCTCGATTGCAAATGGCCTGCTGCGCGTGGCAGGCAGGCGTGCGCGAAAATCAGATTGTTCCACACCACCCCCCAGCGGTGTGTACAGAACAGGTCAAGACATGACATGAAAGTCGACTCCTCAAAAACGCCGGGGAAAGCTCCCTTTGATGTGTATATGTGCGTGCAAACCGGGTTTCATGACGGGGGAATGCAAATTTTTGTGCTACGTCAGAAGCGTAGCAGCCGCGAGGACACGACGCGCGCTCTCACATGACGGAGATGGCGGTGCTCACAGCAGCGGGGGACTGATGAAGAAGAATGTGTGGCGGCATGTACAGGATCTGCGTGCCGGTCGAGCGGCACGCCTAGGGCCGTCTCGAGGACCGGGAGTAGTGAGACCTCGGAGGCGGTGGCCGACTGCCGCCGGCCGAGCGGCGGGTGTACTGGGTGCGACGACCGCCAGAGCTGGAGCTGCCTGTTGAGAATGTGTTAGTGAAACCGCGTCGTACTTGAAGAGCGTGCTCCGGAGGGGGCAATGGAGTGCTTACTGGCACTGGTTGCGTCGGTGTACGAGTAGTACGAGTCGCTGTAGCGTGAGGACATGGGCTTCCGCGGCGGCTTCTTCTTGTCCTTTTTGAGGTTGAGCAGGGCGAGGATGGTGGCGGCTGCGCCGGCCAGGCCGAGCCACCAGCCGCCGTCCGACTTCTTCTTTTCGCGGCGACCGCCGGCCGAGGAGGGGCCGCCGCCGCCGCCGAACCAGCCGCCGTGACGCTCGCGGCGCGAGTAGGCCGAGGGCTGGCGGCTGCCGTGGCGGGAAACACGCTCCTCGTAGACGTCAACGCGCTCGCGCTTCTCGTCGTGGTGGCGCTTGCGGCCGAAGATGGCGTTCCACAGGCCGCGGGCGATGCAGCAGAAGCACAGCAGCAGGAGGAGGGCGACGCCGACGAGGGTGCCGATGACGATGCCGGCGATGGCGCCGCCGCTGAGGCCGTGGTTGGTGGTGCCGCCGTCGGCGCCGATGGCGTCGCCGTCGCTGGTGCTGGTGGCGGTGGAGGAGGAGCTCGTGGCCGTGCCGGTGGGCGTGGCGGTGGCCGAGTTGGTGTTGGGCCCGTTGCTGGTGATGGTGGTGGTGCCGGTGACGCGGAAGGGCGCCGAGTAGCGGGTGGTGAGCTTGCCGTCCGAGGCGGTGACGACGACGGTGCTGGGCTCCTGGTAGCCCGGGCGCAGCGAGCACTGGCCCTTGAAGGCGCACGTCTGCCAGCCGGCGCAGCAGATGGAGCCGCAGGCCTGCTGCTCGGGGGCCTGGGGCACGCAGTCGACGCCGGCGGTGGGCTCGGGGGCGGGCGCCCAGTGCGTCATGATGGTGCTGGTGAAGGTGCGCGTCTCGGTCCAGGTGGTTGTGTACTGGCCATAACCACCGCCGCCGCCCCCGGCGAGGCAGGTGGCGATGTTGTTGGCCAGCGTCGTGCACACCTGGTCGCCCGTGCAGCACAGCTGGCCGTCGGCGCCGCAGGCGTTGCACGCCGCGCGCTGGAAGAGGAACGACAGCCCGGCGGCGGCGTCGAGCGGGTTGGGCAACGGCGAGGCGGAAGCGAGGCCTGCCGCGAGGGCGGCGACGATGCCCGCGGCGGCAATGGGCGGCCGCATTGCTGCTGGTGCCGGCTGCTGCTAATGGCCTTTTGTCTGTTTATGCCCACTCTCTCCCTCTCTCTCTCTGTATGTGCTTCTGCCCGAAGCTCGGGCGTTGTCCGCTCCTGTCCCCCTCTCCGGCGGGACGGAGGAAAGTGAGTGGTGTTGGTGGTTGGAATGCGGGACACCGGAGCGGCGGAGCGGGAGGGGCGCCGTGCTTTTCGGCGTTCCGCAGCGCAAAGTGTATTAGGCGGGCAGGCGGGCGGGCGCCGAGGTGGTGCGAGGTGGGCGGCGGTGACAATGACGACGAGCGTTGACTTTTGTCCAACCTCGCGATGCGCGGGAGTGTGAGAGAGAGCAAAAAAAATCGAGGAGGTAGGTGAAGACGCTTTTCTCTCGCACAAGAGGGAAAACCAGAAGGGAAGCACAAACGGACGGTTGCTGCAGGCGATGCAACAAGCTTTAAAGAGAGGCACTGGGCTTGCTGCACGTCTGCGCTGGCGCCGGCGCTGATGGGGGAGGAGGGGGGGCCGGTCTCCATCCCCAACCACCTCGGCGCTGCCACCGCACTTTTTTATCCCATGGTTCCAGGGGACAGGCCTGGCCCGGGCACGGCCTGCCCTAGGCTGTCCACCACTTCCACCCACCACACCACCACCCACCACCTACCTTCAGCGCCCGCCCGCCCGCCTGTCCGTCCGCTCATCCGCCCGCTGCGTCACTCAGGCCCAGCCCCTCCATTTCCAGGTACGAGGAAGAAGCGCCTTTGTTTCCACGCGGCGCCAAGATCGGCTCAATAACCCTGATTCCGTTTAATGTCTTTTTTTTTTCCATTCAACCTCGTGGATGGACCAGGGTGCCGGGGGTTTGATATTCTTCCCTTGCGATATTTTGCTTTGCCATGTGAGTGAGGCGGGCGATGACTCTGATGAGAGAATCGTTTGCATCATGGCGGGCCGGCGTTGCAACTTGCGCTGCTGAGTTTCGGCGCCGCCGCCGGGCGAACCGGCCTTCCACTCCATCAGACGGAAGCTGCCCTGTCCGTTCGGGCGCTGTTGGGTTCGTATTCTAGCGCCTGTGGGCGTCTGCATCTACTAGCGGGCAGGTACCGTTCCGTATCGATAAGGCAGCCCAACGTCGTCGTCGCCTGAGAGCTGCCCTCCTCCTACCCGGGACGCGAGGCCGGATAAAGGAGACCTTTTTCACTCGCAGACAAACAACGATTTATGAACTTCCTAATCAGGGTCATCTGGGCTGCAGTTCCATCCTCTATGGCTGCAGCAGCGGGTGCATGGGCATGAATTCGAGTTGGGCGCACTGCACGCCAGGCAGGCGGCCGCGGGTCCCTGCATTGCGCCTCCAAAACTGCGGTGGCTGGATGGATGTGAGATGCTGCCGGTGACGATCTGGAGGCCCTCTGGGCATGACAGGGGTCTGCCCTGCTGGCGGTGCTGGGCTGGTCTGGCACACTAACACCGCGGTCCATCTTCGGGTAATCTGCCCGCTTTTTGCGCGCAGACCCCTCACACCCAGCTTGAGAGCGATAAGCGGGTCCCCAACTGCAGTGCCTTCCCAGCTCAGCTGCGGTCTGCTGGCCATTGGACGGCAGCAGGAGCTTTCCCTGGCACCGGTCACCAGCAGAGACAGCTGTGACGCCTGCCGCTGGTCACTCGGTCCGTCCTCCGCGCGACCTCACCTCACCTCACCCACCCGCCGGGAACCACCACCACGTCTTCCTCCACCTCCAACCTCACTGCCGCCAGCAGCGGCTACTTTTCACCTATCCGCTGCCGCGTAATTGCTCGTTGGGCCTCCTCTCCCGCCCTCGGTCGCCTCGCATTCTCGCCCGACTCGCCGCCCGCCCCCCGTTGCGCACGCAACGTCCTCACAGCCCGCCATGTCGCTCGACCCGCCGACGTACCTGGCCTCGCTGCAGAGCAACATCCGCCAGCGCCTCATCCCCTGGGACGGCGCCGTCCGCGCACGCACCGTAACCGAGGACCAGTACGCCAAGGTCCGCGCCGTCGACAAGGCGAAGAAGCCCGAGCAGCGGAGGGAAGTCGTGGAAGCCGATCCCGATGGCTACCGCCTGCTCTTTGTCGGCGACGAGGGCAAGCCGAGCGTCGTTGAAACGGCAGGGAAGAACGCCAACATCGTTCAGTACATGCTCGTGCTGCTGGCAGACTTGCTCGATGGTGAGACGATGCCCCCGAGCCGACGGCTAGCTGCCGTGTCATATAGCGCGCTCTGAGACTGACTCTTCGCCCGCAGCCGTCCCGTCCCTGGCCAAGTCCCTCTTCAAGACGACCGACCCATACCGGCATTTCCTGCCGCTGCTGAACTCCAACACCACCGAAGACACGATCCCCCTGCTCACCGCGCACGCCCTGACGAGACTCATGTCTCTTGCGCGGGACGAGTCCCGGGCTACCCTCCAGGCACTGCCCGTGCTGCTCACCTACCTGTCGGGCCTCGCAAAGAGCACCGATGCCGGCCTGCAGGACATTGCGGTCCAGGAGTACTCGGCCCTTCTCTTCGGCCACGTCTCGCGTGACCAATTCTGGAAGCAGCGGAGCGAGACGGTCGGGCCCCTGATCAAGATCCTCCAGGCAGCGGCAGGCATTGGCAACGGAGGCGACTCGGCAGCTAGTCTCTGGAGTGGCAACACCAGCACCCGCAACGCCGGCTTCGAGGGCTCGCTGGGCGGCGGCGTTGGGCTGCAGCTCCTCTATCACGTCCTGCTGGTGGGGTGGCAGATGAGCTTCGAGGCGCAAGAAATCGGCGACGAGTTGAACGAGTGAGTGCGCTGCGTCACCTTTGCGATGATGCCTTGCTGACCTCCTGAAGCGAGTACGACATTGTCCTGCTGTATACTCACCTGCTGCGCCTATCGCCCAAGGAAAAGACGACGCGGCTCATACTGTCTACGCTCTACAACCTGCTGGAGGCGAACCAGAAGTCCCTTCTGCCGACGGCTGTCCTCGCGCGGTTGCCGGCTCTGCTTGAGAACCTGACCAGCCGCCACCTCACGGACCCAGATCTGCTGGAGGACCTGGAGAGCCTCAAGGAGCTCCTGGCCGAATACACCAAGACCAAGACTACGTTCGACGAGTACGTCGCCGAGGTGCAGGCCGGGCACCTGCGGTGGTCGCCGCCGCACCGGAGCGAGGTGTTTTGGGCGGAGAATGCGCGCAAGATCCTCGACTTTGAGAACGGCGAGATCCCGCGCAAGCTGGCGACCATCATGCAGCAGCCGTGGGACAATGACAAGCAGGTGCTGGCCATTGCGTGCAACGACATCGGGTACCTGGTCAAGGAGGTGCCCGAGAGGCGGCACCAGCTGGAGAAGATTGGGCTGAAGCGACGGGTCATGGAGCTGATGCAGTCGGACGACGAGAACGTGAGGTGGGAGAGCCTGCGGGCGCTGGGAGGGTGGCTCAAGTACAGCTTTGAGCAGAAGTAGTGTTTGCGGGCATGATGTTTGTCTTTTCTTGTCGACGATGCATGCGCACTCATGGAGAGCGCCGGCCGGGTGCGCGCTTGGTTGGTAGTGCGAGGGGGTGAGGCTTGTACGAGACGCGGATGGAGAGCGAGCAGATGCGGTCGATGCGTGTGCCCGGGAGAAGCCAGATGGCTGTGCTGCGCGCACACTACACGATAGCAAGCTACATTACATACAGCACCTACTACAATGAACCTCTGGCCGGTCCGTCATTGCCTGTGGAGGTGGTAGCCGTTGTCGATGGCAAGACATGGAGTGGCGCACGACTTTTAGGCGCGCCGTGAGTGGCCCGCGGCGGGTTGACATCAGGTAATGATTAGAGCACTGCAACTCGGCCCAGGATGCGCGGTTCGATATCGGAGCGGCTCCAGGGCGCCAGTGCCGCCTCGACCGGCAGCCTCCTGCGGCCAGTGGCCCATGGACGCCCGTGGACACCCGCGCCCCACCACCGCTCCTACTCGATTGAGCATTTCATCAGTCACAGATTCGCCCGCAGACCCTGGGGAAGGTCGCTAACGAGCCGGCTCTGACAGCCTCTAAAGCCTCCAGGGCCTCCACCTCAGGGCCTCTGGGAACCTCGCCGCCGCCCATCGTCGTGCCTTGCCGTCGAGCCACACGGGCCATCGTCCTATCGATCCATCCCTCTTTCCCTTCTCCGCCGGCCTCCACGACACTCCTCCTCCTCTTCCCTCCAACATCACCTCAATTGCGCAAACAATTGAGCTTCGTCCTCTCCTCTTTCGTCTCCCCTTCGCACGCGGCGTCTCTCCCTCCTCCAGCAGCATGAAGTCGGGCCTTGCTACAGCGGCCGTCCGGGCGGCGCCCCGGGCGCTCACCCGCGCGCGCCTCGGCACCTCGAGCACCTCATTCGCCGCCGCCGCGGCGACGCCCGCCGTTGGCCTCGCCAGGCGCAACGGCGAGGTCCGATTCGCGTCCGGCGCCGCGCCCGCGGGCGACCTCAAGAAGACGCCGCTCTACGACCTGCACCTGGCGCACGGCGCCAAGATGGTGCCCTTTGCGGGCCACAGCATGCCCGTGCAGTACGCCGGCGCCTCCCTCGCCGACTCGCACCACTTCACGCGCAACCATGCCTCGCTCTTCGACGTCAGCCACATGGTCCAGCACATCTTCAAGGGCAAGGACGCCGCCGCCTTCCTCGAGCGCGTTACGCCCTCGGGCTGGGCCACCCAGGCCAACATGGCCAGCAAGCTGACCACGTTCCTGTGGCCCGGCACCGGAGGCATCGTCGACGACTCCGTCATCACCAGGATCGGCGAGGACGAGTACTACGTCGTCACCAACGGCGCCTGCTTCGAAAAGGACACCAAGTACCTGGACGAGGAGCTGGGCAAGTTCGGCGGCAGCGTCGAGTGGACCCGCCTGGACGGCTCCGGCCTCGTCGCGCTGCAGGGCCCGCAGGCCGCCGAGGTGCTCAAGGAGGTCCTGGCCTCGGACGTCAACCTTGACGGTCTCTACTTTGGCAACGCCGTCTGGGCCGACCTGAAGCTGGCCGACGGCTCCAAGACGCACCCCGTCCTCATCAGCCGCGGAGGCTACACGGGCGAGGACGGCTTCGAGATCTCCTTCAACGGCAAGCTGTACCCTGCCCTGGAGACGACCACGCCCGCTGTCGAGGCCCTGCTCAAGGCCGCCGGCCCCGAGCGCCTGCAGCTCGCCGGCCTCGGCGCCCGTGACTCGCTGCGTCTCGAGGCGGGCATGTGCCTGTACGGCAACGACCTCGACGACACCACGACGCCCGTCGAGGCCGGTCTCAGCTGGGTCATCCCCAAGGAGCGCCGCGCCGCTGGCGGCTTCCACGGCGCCGAGGTCATCATCCCCCAGCTCACTCCCAAGAGCAAGGGCGGTGCTGGCGTCGAGAGGCGCCGCGTGGGCTTCGTCGTCGAGGGCGCCCCCGCGCGCGACGGCGCCGAGGTGGCCAAGGACGGCCAGACGGTGGGCAAGATCACGAGCGGCGTCCCGAGCCCGACGCTGGGCAAGAACATCGCCATGGGATACGTCAAGGACGGCCTGCACAAGGCGGGCACCGAGCTGGACGTGGTGGTCCGCGGCCGCAAGCGGAAGGGCGTCGTGACCAAGATGCCCTTTGTCCAGACGCGGTACCACAAGAGCGATGCGTAGAGGGGCAGCTGGGCCATGTGTACAGATCTTTTTATCATTTGAGCAGAATAGGGATACTTCAACGTGTTTCACTCGCGGGACGGAGTTTGTGTGTATAGACTTGATATTATGAGCGTCTTTGGGCAGCGCCAAGGGGAACGGCTGGCGAAAATTGAGAATTGGACAAGTGGCAATGCACTGGAGAGTCGGTGAAAACATCAATCATCGCGTAGGCAGAGGGTGGTCCATCGCTATCATCGTCGTTATCGTCACCGTCATCACTATAATCACAAGAGAAACGAGGCCAAAAAAAAAAAAAAAAAAAAAAAAAAAGCTGTCGCCACGAAAAACCATAGGGGGCCGCCACGGAGGAAGAAAAACGTGCGGCCCCCCTCAAACGAGCGGCGGGGGTAGTATTGGTCTTGCAACGCGGCAATTTGTCCTCGATCACGTTTTGGGCGACGATTCCATGGGGCGCGTGAGAAGGGTCATGTGTGAGGACCGGGCGTTGCGTGGTGAGAAAGAGAAAGAGTGAAAACCGGGAACCGCAGTGGTGGGGATTTTTTATCAGAGGTTGGGCGGTCGGACGGGTTGGGTTGGGTTGGGCCCCGCTAATGTTATTGAGTGACAGGACGGGGTTGGCTAACCAGGGAGCGAGTGCCCAATCCAACTTCACTCCTCCTCCTCCGTCACCACCAGCGTCCACTACCAGTGCCTTCCGCGTCTTGATATGATGTCTGCGATTTCATTTAGCTAGTCCGAGGGTGTTTGACAAGTAAAGTCTATGCCAGACAGCAAGCGCCATGTAGCAAGTCAAAATGGTCCCCTGCTGCGGTACCGCGAACCGCCGCGTGACCGGCGTGGCATCGGACGGACTACGACACAAGGGCCGTGTGTCATCCAAGCGACCACCTGTACCACCCCCTCAGGCCCATGAACCCAAGACTACTACTTCTTCTCTGTCGGCGGCGGCGGATTCGAGATGTACCATCCCGCCGGCATGATGTAGACGGAGCACTGCGTAAAGTCTGCCTGTCGGTTCCACGCACACTTGGCGCCGTGTTCGCAGCACTAAAAACACACAAGACAAAGCAACGGTCAGCCTCCTGGTAAAGAACGCCTCGTATTCTGCAGTGAACGAAGAATGAAGCTCGGGGCGGGGAGAAGGAAGACGAAGACGAAAAAAGGCGTACAGGGTACTCCTTGTCGCAGCGGCCGAGGTAGCCCTCCTTCTTCTCGAGGGACGCGTAGCATTGCTGCGTCGTTGCGTCGCAGTTCTAGAAGCAGGACCCCCCGTACGGCGTCAGTCAGCGTGCACAACTCCTGAGTCCTGAGGCGGCGCTGGTGTGAGTGCGATCGGGACGGGACTGTGCTTGCACGTACGCCGAGGATGATTTCGAAGCTGGCTAGTGCCGCCGTGCTGTAGTAGAGAAAATGAAGGACGATGAGGTAGGGTCGCATGGTGAATTAATAAACGGGTATAGCCACAAGGCGATGAGGAAGAGCGAGAGCGAGAGCGGTTTGGCGGCGATGGTTGCGCTGGGGTTTTTTCCGCCGGCGGCAAGCCACGAGGACGAGCGGCCCGGTTTTATATCTCTCTGCCTCACTCCCACCGCATGCCCAGAACATGGTGTGACCAAGATGCAACGTCCAAGCTCTCTTACGTGTACGTCGGCCGTTCCTGAGCCTCTCCCCTCTATCTCTAAGTCTCCCACAGCGGAATCGGTTACGGTAGAGGCGTGGGTGTGCACGATACCCTCTGCGCTTCCTCGGGAACATCCCATCGTGGGAGGAGCACCTCGCCAGATATCGTCATTAGCCAGGAAAAAAAGAGGCATTGGCCACAATCGGGCGCGTTTCGGCTTCTGCCGTTGACTTCGACATTGGCAACACGCGGCCGCTTGGTGGTCAAGGCTTATCGAGGGTCTGTTCACTTCGAGAAAGACAGTCTGCACGCCACCTGCGCCCTTCGCTTCATTCAGAGTCGTGAGGACTGCTGCGCTCGCGAGATATGTTTCGCAACTGTACGATTCCGCATGGGGGCGTCGTTGAGTGACTCACGCTTTGGGTAACAGAAGCTGCTGTCAAGTGAGGCGGGTGGATTTGATGTGCTCCCTCGACATGGAGTGGGCTGTGGCCGGCCGACACATCATCACCTTGGGCCAGTGATTACCCAAATCTGCAGGTACGAGGATTCGCTGCGAAATATCGACGACATCATCAACTCTGAAGTCATGGTCATTACACATATATACGGTACAGCACAACTACCTCGTATATTATGGCAGCTTTAACGATACAGAAGGGCTAGGTGCGCTCGACAAGGCCAGCCTCATGCAGCCAATTGTTTTAATCTAACGCCGGTGGGCAACATTTTGTGCAGCGCGGTGCCTCTCCTGGAGTTTCAACTGCGAAGAGCACGCCGGCCGGGCAGGGGACCTCGTCCGTGCCTGGCGCCGCCTTGGCCAGGGAATCGTCGTAGTCGCGACACGTAGCCTTGCCGGTCGACCCCGTTGTCCACTTGTTCCCGCAGACTTTGCATTTCACGGAGCTGACGTACATGGTGCACATGCTGGGCAGATAGCCAGAGGGCCGGTATTGCTGTGGTACGGCAGGGTGGTAGAGTCTGACTGGATCTGGGGCTGGGGCTTGACTTGGGACGCGCAAGGCGACTCTCGGCTAGGCTCGTAACTGAGTGTGCTGAGGAGGTTCTGGACTGGAAGTAGAAACTGACAGCATTTGTCAAAGTCCGGGTCGCCATATATACCCCTGGAGCAAGCCATGATGAATCACAGTCTTTGGCGGTAGGAAGGTAGGAACGTTTTCGTCAAGTATACTGTGAGCACCTCCGTCCCATGTGTTTCCGTCAAAGTTGTGGGTGGGTGGTTTGAAGTTGCGAGATGGAAAGATCGAAACCGCAGGCAAAAAAGCCATGCTTTGTGAATGCTTTGTTGGCTAGAGGCGTTGGGCGTGAGGACGTTGCCGCCAGGTTTGACTGATTTCGGGGGCGCAGCATAACTCGTCGCCCGCCCATAGTTTTGTCTGACCTAGAAACTAGACTCTTGTGTGTCGGCCTCTGGTCGTTTGTACGCGCCACATTGTACGGCCTGCACTCTTCGTTGAGGAAGTCTTCGAGGCTGAGTGCACTAGTCATCGGAACTGGGTTGAATCGACGGCGAAGCTGAGCTGAATCTGCCGGAGATCATGGCGCTTGCCTCAAATATTCTAGCTGCTCTGTTGACCGTTGCTTGCCTGGACAAAGGAGGCAATGCCGTCATAACGCGCACAACATGTTGCACCAGCCGCTTCCGCCGCTGCCGAGGCCATCAAAGAGCAGCGCATAAGTGGCCGCGAGGGCAAGTTGGTTCGGGGAGGATGGTTTGTCTAGGTTCAGCTCGCAGCGCTCAGGCGAGCCAGGCGTCTGTAAAGGCAGACTTGGTAGATACGGCGAGCGACGAGGGCCCGATATTCAGTAGGGGTAGCTTGGCATGTAGAAGAAGTCGCCATGCCTGGAGGAAGCAAGCCAGGCTTTATATCTCAAGAGTTAAATCGTCTCGAGGTGGCAGTTGCATCTGGCTGCGACACATCATCATGGCCATCGGAGGAGGCACGCACACAACTTTCTGTCCACAACTGAGCAAACGGCGCTGCGTTGCACGTGCGTTTCACGGTTCACGTTAGTGAGGATCGTGGGGTACAAAACACCTTGAACGGGCTGTATAGAGCTGTTTGCGATAGTGTCATCGACAAGCTGTATCTGCGCGACGCGGTCTTGGATCACCGCCAGCACACACTGCAACATTGTGCGACGTAGCTTGCTGTTTGCGTCAAATGGGAAAAAGAGCATTGTAGACCGCTCTGGTTGATAGTACTCCAAGGGACATGTAAGCCGGGGCCTCATGCCGTCGGTGACAGCCATCGTGGCTGGACGGCGGGAAGGTGCAAGGGTCGCAGACGCACAAGAAAGTGTTGTGCATATTCTCCAAGGGAGGCTCAGCCGTCTCTCCATTCATCGGGCGCGGAAGGTGCGAGGCAAGGTGCGAGGCAAGGCTGGTGCCTCGCACTTGCCCATCTTCTGTGACGGTTCAACGCACGGCAAGAGCAACACGACGGCGCCTTCTGCACCGTCCACCAGAAGCAAACTCGGCTTCTCCGTGCACACATCCGAACAGAGCAATACTCTCCTCTCGCCTACATGTGACCGGCAACATAAGATAAGGCCACGACGTCGATAGGCCTTATGTGCAATGTCACTGCGCACACAGCTTATGCCAAGCTTGAGCAAGCAGCTGCCAGTGGCTCTCGCTTCGACCCGAGCGGCGACGATCACAGACCGACCTGCACCAACCGGACCCGTAGCGGCACGCCGTGCGACGACGCTCCCTGTCAGTCAGCGTTGGACGCGGGACAATGACGATGACGGACCACGTTGCCGGCATACCAAAAGTCGGGAGCCGAGGGGGGCTGAGCCTGCCACCCGCGTCAGTTGTCCGAGAGTCATCTGCGCGCATGCCCAGTCAGCTGAAACCGGCATATGAGCCAGCGGCGTCACAGTTGCAGCGCTCCAGCTCCAACCAGCGCGCAGTCGCAGTCGGCGGCTGCACCGAGCGGATGTGACTGCCCATCAGGGTCACGACGGAATACTGCGCACCATACGTTGGCACAAATGTGCCGCAGCACAGCGCGCAGCCAGAGGTCGCGTGCCCCTCCCGCGGTGCGGCGTGTTGGTCAGTTGGCTTTGAGCGCGGGTCGAGCGAGACCGTCTCATTGCCGCACGTGTTGGGGCCGAGTCGTGGAGATTGGTTGCGGCTTCGCGCGCGCCGCCCATGGAAGTTTGCGGGGAGCGCACAGGCAAACCACTGAACGAGACTACGTGCTGTAAGTTATGTACTACCTGCTTTTAGGTGCAGACTGGCCAAGGGACGGGGCCCGTCCGTGAGGCTAATATCGATCCTCTCAGACACCCGAGATACAAAACGGCACGACCGGCAGCTTCCCCGTCTCCCTCTGTCCAACAAAGGCGACTTTCGCGTCGGGTGCTACGGCTTCGCAGCAACTCAATAGGCCCTGGCCATCGAATCCCCCACCACTATTCCTCGCTCTGTGGCTGCACCGCCGTCTCCACAGGCGGCCACGAGCCTGGCAAACGTTACGTCAGGCCACCACGCGCCGGGAGAAAAGTCCGTCCAGGCAGCGACCCTGCATGACCTCACCGCACCTCAGGCCCTTGATCCGACCGCGTCGCCCGCCATTTGCGACCTGCAGCGCATGTGGCCACGAGCGACCTCTTCCATTACCACTTCTGCTTCCCCTCGCGGCGCACTGTTGCCGATCGCATAAGCGCGGTCGGTACGTCACGGCTCTCGCGACACCGTGAGCGCCCATATAAAACCTTGACGAGCAATCACCGCCGCCTCTCCATGGGCACCGCTGGCTTGCCCTCGCGACCGACATCTCGCATCCCGCTTCCACGATGGCCCGCGCGGCGTGGATGCCCCTGCAGCTGCTCGTGGCCCTGAGCGGCTGCATCCGCCTGCTTGCGTCGCCAACACCTCCCGAATACGACGCTCTGCAACGCGTGCTGCAGCCGGCGCGCCATCCCGAAGCGCGACCGCAGCAGCAGCGCAAGCTGAACGGCCGGTTCCTGCACATCACTGGTTCGTCATCGCCTGCCGCCCCTCCTGCCAATCGGGACATGGAGGCTAACATTCGACGTCGCAGATTTGCATCCCGATGACTTTTACAAGGCGCACACCTCGTCGGAGGAGGGCATTGCCTGCCACCGCGGCAAGGGCATGGCCGGAACCTACGGCGCGGAAATGACGGACTGCGACTCGCCCTTTTCCCTCGTCAATGCTACCTTTGACTGGATCGAGGCCAACATCCGAGACGACATCGACTTTGTCGTGTGGACCGGCGACTCGGCACGCCACGACAGCGACGAGAAGCACCCGCGAACTGCCGAGCAGGTCCTCGACTCGAACCGCCGCGTCGCCGACAAATTCGTCGAGGCATTCACCTCGCCTCGCGACAGCAAACTCTCCATACCCGTGATCCCCACCTTTGGCAACAATGACTTTCTCCCCCACAACATCATGGAGGCCGGGCCCAACAAGTGGTTCCATGCGTACAGCGACATTTGGAGTCGCTTCGTCCCCGAGGAGCAGCGCCACTCGTTTGCCTTTGGCGGCTGGTTCTATGTCGAGGTCATCCCCGCCAAGCTGGCCGTGTTTAGCCTCAACACCATGTTCTTCTTTGACCGCAACGCCGCTGTCGACGGTTGCGCGAACCCCTCGGAGCCGGGCTACAAGCACATGGAGTGGCTGCGCATCCAGCTTCAGCACCTGCGCGACACGGGCATGAAGGCCATTCTCATCGGCCACGTGCCGCCCGCCCGCACCGACAGCAAGCAGAATTGGGACGAGACTTGCTGGCAGCGGTACACGCTATGGCTCCAGCAATATCGCGACGTCGTCACTGCGTCCCTCTTTGGGCACATGAACATCGACCACTTCCTGCTCGGTGACACCAGGAAGGTTAATCTGCTGGCTGACTCGGAAGACGCATCCGACCGAAGCCGCCTGGATGACGGGGTTTCTATCCAGTCCAAGAGCGATTATCTCATGGAGTTGCGCGATGAGTGGTCAGGCCTCCCTGGCTCAGCGATCAAGGTCCAAGAAGAGGACGATGAAGACTTATCAGCAGACAAGAAGGGCAAGAAGAAAAAGAAGAAGTACAAGAAGATTGGGGGCAAATATGCTGAAAGGTATCAGCTGTCCTTTGTCAGCCCCAGCGTGGTCCCCAACTTTTTCCCGACTCTTCGAGTATACGAGTATAACATTACCGGGCTGGACTCGGCAGCAGTTTGGCATGACTCGTTTGACCAGAGAAACCCGACGTCTCCACAGCCGTGGGATGAGGCAGACTGGGACGACGAAGAACACCATGAGCTCAGGCGAGATGTTGACGCGGAGGGGAAGAAGCACAAGAAGAAGAAGGGCAGAAAGGGAAAGAAGAAGCCCAAGAAAGACCCCAACCTCATCGTTCCCGAAGACCCACCGAAGGCTTCGTTGCCCGGTCCGGCGTACTACCCGCAGTCACTGACCCTGACGGGCTACACGCAATACTTTGCCAACCTGACGTACATCAACAACGACATGCAGGACGTCGGCTTGGACGGATCCAAGTGGCGGGGCGGCAACCCCGACAACAAGAGCCCCAAACACTCGCCGCCGAAGCCGAACAAGTTCAAGTACGAGGTCGAGTACAGCACGTTTGACGACAAGATCTACAAGCTCAAGGACCTGACGGTCAAGAGCTACCTGGGGCTGGCGTATCGCATGGGGCAGAAGAAGACGAATTCGGCGGATGCTCTCGTCGATGACTTTGACGAGGATGATGATGATGAGGTGGAGCAGAGTATCAGAGGAGTCGAGGCCGACGGAAAGGGCAAGAAGAAGAAGAATCGCGAGAGGAACAAGGCGTGGCTGCACTTTTTGGGACACGCGTTCGTCAAGACGGTGCCTAAAGAGGATCTGGAGACGATGTAGGCTCCGAGGCGACGGGAAGGGATTGCATTTCTGTTGCATGAGCAAGCGCGGCGTTTTGGCGTGTCGATATGGCACGGTATCAGTGTCTAGAGGGTGGGCATGGTTTTGGATAAAGACTCGCTCGTCGCGAGGAGGATCATGTGCAATATTTGCTCCAGCCTGAGGCGCCAACGTTTTATATACGAAGATTTCAGTGGCAACGTTGTCTAGCCTTCAATTCGCGAGTGCATTTCGCGTGAGCGGATGGGTCAATACGCTCAATGGCACGATATTGTCAAGATGACCTTTTCTCTTATGTTGCCGAAATCAAGGGTATCGAACGAGGCGCCCCGCCCCGACAGGTCATATGTACAGGCATGCATGCACGCATGGCGCGATTGCCTCCTTGCAGAACCGCGCATTGCCACCTCTTGGCCCGTTTGCCAAACCGTTTCCCCGTCCCCGTCCCGGACCGTCCCGCGCCGTAATCCCTCCACCACTCCTCGGTTGACGTATTATTAGATATTAAGTAGATAGGTGAGCCGTACTCGTTGATACGGGTATGGAATTGGATTTTCGTTGGTACAATGCCGGACGCCTGGTTGTGTATGCTTCGCGCGCCGAAGAGATGTCGATGGCGATGGTGAGTGAGTGAAAACACACGATGAAGAAGAACAGAGATTTTGAAAACATGGCGATGGTGGTGGTGGTGGCGACGGTGAGGCTTTCGTGTGACGGAGGGTAGTCGACGAAGAGGCCTGCCTCCAGAGGGGTGTGTTCCCTGGCCGCCCAGCGGCCCAGGGGAGGAGGGTCCGTCGTCGTCGTCGTCGTCGCCGTCGTAGTAGTAGTAGTAAGAGTGAGAGGGCCGCACCGCCCACAATGGCGTACGGCGCCGCAGACACATTGCGCCACGGAGAGGTAAAGCGAGTGTGTGAGTGTGTGAGTGTGCCCATGTGTGGGCGAGTTGTGAGAGCGACAGTGAGAGAGGAGCGAGTGGCGCGCGGTCTCTTTTAGGGCGACGACGAGCCGCGGCCGTCGTCCTGGTCGTCGAACAGGCCCGTCTCCCGGAAGACGGAGACGCGGCCCTTGCGAATGTTCGTGGTGCTGCTGGGCTGGAACTGCGGCGGGAGGTAGAGGCCGGCGCCCTCGCGGAGGCGGTCCGACGTGAGGCGCGAGTTGAAGTTGGGGCGGACGGGGGGCGGACCGCCGGCGGCGGCTGCTGCTGCTGCTGCTGCCACGACGCTGTTGGCGCCGCTGCCGGCGGGCGGTGAGGCCATGGCGACGGGCGCGGATGAGGCCGGGTGGTGGTGGTGAGGAACAGCAGCGGCGCCGGGGACTTGCAGGTGCGCGCCCGAGGGCACGACGGCCGTGGGGACGATGGTCGCCATGGACATGGTGGGCTTGGCTGTGCGCTTTGTACGGCTGTGGTGGTCTGTGACGCCGAAGGCGAGCGAGCGAGCGTTCGACGAGGTGAGGATGTGTGAGGCGAGGCGAAGCTGAGAGCCAGGCACAGGCACGCAGGCACGCAGGCACCAAAGGGGTGGAGGGGAAAAAGGAAAAGGGTGGGAAGAGATCTGGGGGGACAGAGGCAAGAAGAGGAGAGAAAGTGAACAAGAACAAAAAGCAGGGCGGCAGCAGATCCAAACCCCAAAGAACCCGTGCCGAATCGAGAT